TCATGTGCTTTTTCTTCAGCTTTATTCTTTAATTTAGGTTTAAATTTCTCATCAAAACAGAAGAAATCAAATGGTGCGAATTTGAAAATGTTTTTATCATAAAATTGTTTATCGGTAACAATTGCTTGAAATGCTTGAGTGTTAGGAAGATTTGGATCGCCAGCGATTGCCCAATAAGATGAATCAGTATCACCTTCAATGAAATGAAAACGATTAACATTCATGCATTTATACATAAAATCATAAATGAAAACCAAATACCAGTATTTAGCATTATCTAAAGTGAAGAATGCCTCTTGTAAACATGTATCACATCTATAAAATCTATCTTTGAGCATCACTTGATATGTATCTTCACCTATTTCTCTTATGTTTTTAAACTTATTTGACATACATGCAACGCGTGCCTTCTGTGCATTCATTATTTTAGTCTTTGCGTAATTTTGTGTATTCATTGCATCGTAACCATATGATCCATTAAGCGAAATCTTGCAAAATAAACTTTTTCCTTTATTTCCTTCTAATTCAGCCTTTTGTCTTTCGTTCATAAATTCGTTCGCAAATTCATTAAAACAAGTGTTTTTAGTAAATGTTAAAATTGATTGAATATCATCGATGATAAAATGAAATCTGTCTATTAGATACCAAAGATAATAAGAAGAAAATGGTTGATATTGGTTGTGTGTTGATGCTAACTGAGTTAATTTCCTCTGTTTCTGGTCAACTGGTAGATTGTTTGATTTCATGTAATTATACATAAAACTGCCAATTGTTTTTTCATCTGTGATAATATCTAAGTTTCTTATTATCGGTAAAAAGTTTATGTAATCATTAATGTATTTTTCATCAATGTGACCCTTTACTTCAGCCACGAATAAAGTATTTTTCTTTCTAATAATTCCCAGTGCTTTTGCTTTCTTTGTTGCTGTATCACAAATGATAACACCATTCAATCTTCCCGGCATATACATTTTATGGTCAGTATATTGAATGAAATCATGAGGATTAGATGAAAATGATGAAGGATATAATGAATTAAAATCAACACCAACGAAATGAGTCATAATGTTGGTGGTGTCCTCATTTGATACAGTTTTAGTTTCTGGACTATATGAAAGTTTATTAATGTGCGTGATTCCTTTAAGATTTACTCTATGTTGAACATTTGATAGACCACCAGTAATTCCATTACGGAGAATGTGATAAGCTTCAACTGAATCTAAAGTCATTGGTAAATTATTTTTTAATGCATAATTTCTTAAATTGATTCTTAAACGTTGAACATCTTCATCTTTATTTGATTTTACGACATTGCAATAACAACACATTAACTGACAATTTTCTTTGGTATGTGGTTTTTCATTATCGATTCTATCCAATGTTGGTTTATTTGCATATGTAAACGCTTTACCACACATTTTGCATTTAGATGAAAGGATTAAATCGTGATAGTATTGAAAATCATCCATTGAAACATTATTTTTAGTATCTCTTTCTGCTTTTTCATCTTGTTTCTTATATGATTCAATTTTATATTTCCAATACTTTTTCGTTAATTCAAAACTTGATTCTATCTCTTCCTCAGGATATTTTTCATTAGGATTAAAGTCTTTATATGCTAAAGCGTAACGAATCATTGAAGCATTCGATGATAAAGAAAGATTATGAAGCGTGTCAATTTTATAAACAAATGTTTCTTCAATAATTTTATCGATTGGGTCAATCATAATTTCAACATCTTTATTGCAATAATGAATAAAATATTCTAATCTATTCTTAAAGTTTTTAGCATCATTGAGATATATTTGATAATCACTATCTGATATAGTTTCTTGAGTTAATGCTGAATAAAATGAATCTTTCGTGAATGGTTCCTCTTTATATAATTCTTCTTCGTAATTTTCCCACGTGATGAATTGATAAGGGAAAAAGGATTTAACACGTGATTTATTGTTTCCGAAATCTTGAGTGAATTGATCTAATGTCCCACCCGCTATATAATTTCTGATGTCAATAAATCTCAATTCATATGGAACATTTGTTTTCTTTACAATGATTTGCTTAAATTGTGAAGATGAACCCAGCATTGATTTTATTTTCCATTTTGCAGTGTTTAAATCACGAAGAATTAAATTTAAATCAAACTTTCCCGAATTAAAACCTATGATATTCACTTTATTAAATTCCTCATCTAGAAGTTCTTTAAATGCTTCCTTCTGTTTTTCATTTAATGTATGAGACAAAGTCCCCACCGTTTGCGGCTTCATTAATTCTTCATATTGTTCAATATTTGATTTAGCAACTAATGAACAGGTTGAAAATAAAAACTCAATCCAATCAGAAATAAAAGAATCACTCGAAGTTAAGCAAAAATTCCTCGTATATGTTTTATCATTTAATTTAACCGTTGATGATACCATGAATGGTTTTAAGTAAGCGTTCAAAGTTGCACACTCAGAAAGTTGTAATTCTTCTTTAGTCTCTAATGTTTCGAAGTCAAAAGTAATATAATATCTTGTCGGTTGATAATATTCCTGCAAATTGTGAGCTAATAACCACTGATATATCTTCTGTTTCGTAATATGTGGTGCATATGGTTGCTGTGTCTTTTGCAACTGAACGTCTTGAATTAATCTTCCATTATTTTCTTTACATTTCTCACAATGCTTTAAAAATCTTCTTTGGTTTTTCCTTTCTGGATCATCACGGATAGAATAAACCTCTTCTTTACAAATGGACAAACTTTATAGCCGGTGAGTGCTTCAACGTCTGTTATTCTGTCAGCGTGAAGTTTTCCACATGGACTCTGTGTTAATAAAATATTTACTGTTTCAAATTCTGGATCTATCATTATTGATTCCACTAATGGAAAGTCTACCTTATTTATATCCACGTCTTCTGGTTGAGGATCACAATAATAGAAATCAATATTAACATTTAACATTCTCGCTAATCTCTCACTTTCTGATGAAATGTCAAACCCTTCATATGCATCTATTGCTTCATTTAAATAGCTTCTACGAGTTTTAGAATTAACACCATCAGGAATGTTTTAGAAGCGTTTAAATAACCTTCTACCTTCTGCTCTAATTTGATTATCATTCATTTTAGCTGTTCCGTTTTTGTTCATTTATGTAAGAATAAAAAATTAAAAAATAAATAAAAATAAACTTTATTTTTTAAAGCCCATAAAATGAATTAAGAACACATAAATTTTTATCATCCGCAACGTGACGAATACATTTTAATTTACTCAAGAATACGTACCCCGATACATTAAATCTAATTCCTGTCTTATTTAATTTCACAACTTTGAAAAGGAATGTATGAATAGCTATAAAATGATGAGAAGATGTTTTATGGGTTGCTTCCATTTTTTCTGAAATAAATGAATAAATATAATGCTTATACGTTTTCATATCTTTTATATTCTTAATAACGAATGGTATAGACCTTTCCACTTCGTCTTCCTTCGGTGCTGTTCTTTCATATGAAACATTATTAGTATCTTCAACAATGAAACCACAATCACACAAAATTTTATATGTTCCAATGGTTTCTTTTGATATTTTATCTAATAAATCAAAAACTTTATCAACACCTGTGCATTTATTTAAATAATAATTTGTGTAAATATCATGATCTTCTTTCTTAATCGTATTAGTTGCATATGTCACGTTTTTAAGAGCTTTTTTGAATTTTTCGGAATCTAAAGGTGGTGAAAGTAAGATACAGGGGTATTCTTCATTATCAATAAATTGTAACTTATGTTTACGAATAAATTTAGTACCTTCTTCTGAAAGTGTTTTGTCTATTTCACCATCTAATAAATTTTGTGTTGATTCTGAGACATAATTTTTATATCTTTCTTCATGAGATTTCTGAACTTCTGATTCTGAAGCTGGGATATTCATTAAACCCTCTACTTCATTTTCATTATATTTTTCAACTTCTCTTAATTCCTTAATTTTTTCATCTATTTCATCTCTTATTTTTTTCAGTCTTTCAATTTCATTGTATTCATCATCTTTAATCCGTTCTTCATAATATTCAGGGAAAACATCAGGTTCTTTAGGTTTTTCTTCTTCAGATGTGGGATATAATAAATTTATAACATCATCTTTATTCATTTTTCCATCATAATCTAAATCATTTAATAACTCAGCAAACTTTTGACAATTTCTTAAATAATATTTATTAACCTCATAACCCGCCTCCTCTAATATATCCTTTATTTCCTCGTTTGTGAATCCTAATTTTTTAACGTTGTTAGTTTTGACGCTCATTTCATACAAAATAAAAAAATAAAATAATAAACATAACTAAGTTTTAATTTTTCGTAAGACATTAATTTTTAAAGTTTATTTTACTCGTTTATGAGGTCTTTGATTATGACTTCATTGATTCCATTCAGGATTTAAACAATGTTTAATTAATCGCGGAATATCTGACATCATCTATATATAGCTTCTTTTATAAAAGATAAAAAATAAATTATTTTAAAATTAATGTTAATTTTTTTTAATGGTTTAGTATATAATATTTATTACTAATTTATTTAATAATGTCGCGCTTTCTTACGAATTCATGACTTAAAAAACGTAAGAAAAAATTTTTATATCATCTATATATAGAAGATGTGAAAATATACCTTCATCTATATATAGACGTAACAAAAAAAGTCACTAAACCCTTCCTATCCTACTACTTTGATATTATCTAATATTTAACATGATCTGGGCGTCCTGAATGGTATAACTCAATTACAAGGTAGAGAAAATTGTATTGTAAAACTATTTAATCATTGATTATAAAATGATGAGATAATTCTGCAAATTCTTAATCTTAGTGTGCTTTACATATACATTTTTCTCATTCTCAGCATATTGAATCTGTTTTTATCAATCTTGATGATTCATTCACCTTCATATTTGTTATCCAAGATATCAAAGTATAAAATTATGTGGGGAATGACACTATTCAAAATTTCAATTAAATTCATGTTGCCTATTCTTTTGAGTTGTGTTTCATCAACCTTAGTCCTTCCTTTGGATGATACATATCAAAATGGTTATGCCAATCCAAATATTGAATATTTAGTTCAAGGCGACAAAAAAGCTGCAATTCTAGTTATATTGCCAACAACTCTCACAAAAGATCTCAAAATAAAGTCACGTGAATATGATGCTACAGAATTCACAGATCTTAAATCTACAATAGATAAGAGAGGTGAAGCAAAGGATCCAAAATATTCAACTGTTACTATTAAGCCAGATACAGATAAACCATTCTATTTACAAATCACAGTTAATTCAAAGGAACAAGTACCATATGTCATCAGATACGCCCATACACAGCCAGTTTATAGAATATCTGCCGTTCTCGGAACATTTGCATTGTTTATTTGCTTATTCCTTTTCATCTTCGGATGGACAATCTTCTGCGGTGCTTGCCGTGCTACACGCAAGCGTTAAAAATTTGTCATTTTTATTCCAATCAATAAAACAGTCTCATATTCTATAATAGTCATTATATTTCGATATAATCTACATTTATCAGATTATCATATACTAGGTTAGCATATCAAATTTGTCAGATTGTGGTGATAGTCAATCTGAACTAATTTTTTTGATAACATTTTATTGAGTTCCTGCAATGGAATATATCATTCGGTATTAAACATTTCAATCTGAAACATTTCCAAATAAAGGAAAGTAATTTATACAGAATTGTTGAAATTCGTGAAGAGATATGCATTTATATGCATATTCATATGTTAGGCTTATAAAAAATTGACAATTAGAAACGTCATTTTATTACTTTCTTTGAATTGAGGATTTGCTATACGATAAAAACTAAACACATAGGTAAGAAGAGCATTTGTTACTATAAAATTACCTCTAGACAGTAATTATTTTATTTTATTTTTATTGAGAATGATATCGAATTTGTATAAGTTATATGGTGCAAGTATACTTAGTGTACATCTGTATTTTGCTTTTTCTCTCTTCTTTTCCTGTTAATTATTTTCGAGATCATTTCATTGCGCATAAAATAGGATAAGGCTATTTGTTGTTGTCGCTTATCACAGAACTATCCCACCATCATGAGTACAAAAGAAATAAGGCATCATTATCTCATTAATTCATATGTTATTGATAAATTTCTATAGTTTTAGAACAAAATATCAATCATAAATTACTATATTTATTCATATATCATTTTAAGAGTTACTTGCTTGAAAGATATTTCTTGCCTTCAGTAACAAGTCTAGAGAATACTGGAAGGAACGAATCTGAGCAAACTACAAACATTTCTGGATGGAACTGTGTACCAAAAACGAAGCTTCCTTCTTTCTTGTGGATTGATTCAATTATACCATCAGGAGACATTGTGTCAATAGCAAAACCGTTAGCAAGACGATCGATGCACTGATGATGGAAGGAATTGACATCCATTACGGTCTTTCCAGGGAAAATTTCTGACAAAATTGATACATTGTTGATCGTAATGTTGTGGGTAGGAATACATCCATCAATTGTCTGATAATGCTTCCTAGATGGTAATTGTTGAGGGGTTAATGATAAATCTTGGTAAAGAGTTCCTCCAAATGCCACATTAATGATTTGGAGACCACGACATATGCCAAGAATTGGTATTTTGCAGGCGTATGCTGATTTAATTAACTGGATCAAATAAATATCTGTAACTTAGCTTGTTCGCTCGATCCATTTGGTTGTTTCTTCTCCATAAAGGGAAGGAACAACATCATAGCCTCCTGGAATGATTAGAGCGTCAATAGTATCAAGTTGTTCTTCAACTAAGTCAATTGATAAGTTTGTGAGGACAGGAAGAACCATAGGAGTACCACCAGCCTTTTGAATGGCATCTAAGTACTTTAAGTTTGCGTAGTTGTAGAGAGAAACGTTAAAATCACCAGTATTTGTTTCGTTTAAGCGCATTCCAGCCATTCCAATTCTAATTCTCCTATTCTTATCTACGTTATGAGAAGAATCAATGTTAACAAGTAAAAATATGGCTATCCCTAAAACAATTAAAAGAACAATCAGCATTAAAATTTGCATGATCATTAGTGGCTTGTTTGCACATGGTTTCTTCGTCTGGCACTTGCAGTTTGAAGTCTCTTCTCCCATGAGAGGCTCGTGAGATCCATCCATATTCAAATTTGAATGAGATTATTCTTTGAGACCAATTCAATTTACAAAATGATAAAACAAGATTTATACATTCATTATAAATTAAAAATTTTAAAATTTGACATCTGATCAATTTTGATTTGTCAGAATCTCAATCGAACTTTTTATCAAAGATCTTGCATTTTTGAATGCCTGTACTTCTGAATAACACAATTACAAGACAAATAAACTTCATTAATTTAAAATCAATTCATCCACCTCTGCAATTAAAGGCAACTGATGCTTAAAAGTTAATGGACAAATTTTCGTGATTTAACACATGATGTTGAAATCTAACAATTCTCATTTGGATATAATTTAGATCTAAATTTCGAAATTACTAATCTAAATATGCTGTTTTAAAAGGAAAATCAAAAGAAAACATCATGTACAAATCATATATAACTGATATTTTTATCACTTTATCTATGATTACGAGTGTTGTGAAATATTGAATTCAAATCATGACTATAAACATAATTTACCATAAGTATACATTAGAAAAAATCAAGTCTTATTTAATAAAAAAATTCGAAATATTTTTAAGATAAATAAAATTATGATTTTTTCTCAAAGGAAGCTTGGGAATTCTATTCCAGATAAGATGTCAGAACCCAAAGCATTGATTTCATTGTTTGAAGGTAAGAATGCCTGGTAAGTGAGTTTGGTTTCTTCCTCATCGTCTTCTTGGTCTTCCTGAGCGAAATTCTTCTTCTTTGATCTGGCATCGGTTGATTTCTTTCCTTGTAAATCTTCGTCATCACTTTCATCATCATTTACAAGAGCTTTTTCGAGTTTGTTGAAGAACTTCTCTGGTTCATTGACCTTGACAGCATCAAGTTCAAGCAGCATCTTCTCTTGTACGTGCATGTTTTCTGCCTTGAATGTTGCATTGGCCCAAAACGTGAATGGAGCAACTTTGATGATTGGAAGTGTTTCTTGTATTGGCTGAAGGAATTCGCAACCGTAGTATTCGATATCAATGATTGCGAGTGGAGGTAATTCCTTGATATCATCGAATGGATCGATTTCCTCATTGAACTTCCATTGGTCTGCTTTCACTGGCAAGTCGATTGATGGGAATTGTTTGATACCTCTTGACACGATCTTCTTCATTACTCCGCCTCCTTGTGCTTGCAAGAGTTTCAAGAATTCAATGGCGTAAACAGAAATCAAAGGATCAGTTACAGAAGCAGCGACATCACCGATACCTCCGAATCTATCGATAGTTATAGGAAGAGGTGTCATCTTCAACATTATTGTAACAATCTTGTAAATTGCAACTGCTACATCTGAATCCTTTTGAAGAGCTGTTGTGTAGAAGTTCAAAACAGACAATAAGAATGTTTGGTCGTCAATGATCTTAAGGATTGTTTTAACCAATCCGTCGAGAACATCATCTCCTTCATTTGCCATTCTCTGTAACATGTCAGAAAGCTGAGAATCAACGTTTTGTCTGAATGATTCAACGTGTTCCGCGTAATTCCTGTCATGTCTGAAAGTGAACAAATAAGGAAGAACGGCCAAAAGAAGGCATTCCATCTTCAAGTTCGAGATGCACTTCAATCCATTCATTGATGGCAATCTGACCATGAAATTCACGGATCCCTTTAATGACTGCGTTGAATGGTAAGGAGTCAAAATCAACTGCAAATAATCATTTTCGTTTTGAAGGGAATCAGTGAATTGTTTGTTAGACAAACATTCACTTAAATGATTAATAACAGCCATGAAGATATCGAGGTGTTCTTCTCTTTGCACTTTCAACAGTTGTATTACAGAAAGAAATGCCTTTTGAGAAGGAACAGTTAAATTACAAGAAATCTTTGTAATTACATCAACTAAATCAGCGATGTATGAATAAGCCAAAGAAGCATCAAATTCCTTTTCCATGATTGTTGCAAGAACTTGTTGTTTCTTTGATTTCCAGCCAGGAGCTGTTCTTTCCGCCAAAACACTGATGAAAATATACAATGTTCGCAATAAAATGTCAATGATATCATCATTTGCGTGTGAAGCAGTTATTCCATACAAAATAATTGCTCTGTGTGCTGTCTTTATTTCACCACATGTTGTTCCCCATCTCAAGCATTCTGTGGCGAAATCTTTGACGCTTTCAGCTGGAAGGGAATAAATGAAATCGATGGCAACTAAGATTAAGTCTAGATCGATATCAGTGACTTTACTTAATAATCTTAATTGGCTGGAGAATTTATCAGGTGTTGTCTTAAGAGCAGTTTTATTGGAAGAGATGATTGTTGTTGCCATATTCTTTATATCCAAATCAAAACTGTTCTTTGAAAGAATTGTTCCGAGTAATTCTTTAGGAGCTCCTTCGAATTGGTCGGAATACAAAAGACAGAAAATGATGATTGGCCCTAAATATGGTTTGATTGATTCCGGTTTTTCTCTGAATAATCTCATGACGAGTTTCGAAGAGAAAGTAATTACGACTTGGAACAAATCGATGTCGGAAACATCTTCTTCTGAATCTTCATTGGAATTCTGGTTCGTGTGTGCGATATTTTCCATGAATCTGTCCATATCGAACTGTATATCCATTCTCAACAACTGGATCTGATAATAGAACCATGATCTGAAAGTAAAGAACTTGGAAATGTGTTCGATAACTTTCATAGGATCTTTATTGAACAAATAATCAATTACTGCCATAATGTTATCAGACAATGATTGATCGTTTTGTTGGATGGAATAGAGACAAATGAAGAAATACTGATGGATGTCCATTTCTTCGCATTTTGACTCCAATATTTGGTCAATGAACTTGAAATGTCCGTTGCAAAGAGTAAGATAAATAATGTTCTTGACGAAGGATTTCAAGAACGAGAAACCAGTGAATCTTATGAGTTTTTCATCAGTTATTTCAGGAACAATTCCTGCACAATCCCTGTTGAAAACTAATCCTTTCAACCATGGTGTCATGATTGAAATGAAAACATTGCATTCATTTGGTTTCTTCTTGATGATTTGTGCTGCATGAGACAAAACAATTTCAGTAGATGATCTTAACTTCTTTGAAAGCAATTCGGAGATTTGCATGAAGACATCTAAGTTGATTTCAGGAGGTAAAGTGACATTTCCTTGCATGAAAGTATTAATTCTATGAATTAATGCAGATAATCCATGCAATTCTTGGTCATTTGAAACAAACAAAGCTCCCAAAGCAACACAAGTTAACAAGTTAATTGCTGATGCTCTGTTTGTTGATTCACTGTGTGTCAACATGTAGAAAGAAAGTGTTAACAATCCAGCGATGTTTGCGTTTGTTGTTTCATTGAAATCTTTCTCGGAATCATTGAATTCTGTCGAAACATTCGATTTCCACTTCAAAATGAATTTTTCGACATTGTCAATCGGCATGAACTGCGCGCAAATCGCTTTGAAGAAGATAGGATTGTCAATGGATCTCTCGATATAAAGAGGAAGCATAACATTGTAAGCGGATCCCAATACACTTGTCAATACACTGAAAGAAATTTCACTGACAGTATTAAGGTTATCTTTCAATGAATTGAAAAGTGAATCAGGAATTGTGTAAACTCTTATCATGGCTGTTAGAGCTGATCTACAGATTGTTCTCAATTCCTGGAAAGGAAGTTTATCAGGAGCAGATGAACAATTGACTAAGCAAGCAAATAATCTATTGGCTGCATCAGAAGACAGTTTTTCTCCACCGTAAACTGTGTTTCTTGGAAATGCAGATCTCGCTTCAGAAATGTTGTTCTGATACAAATCATCGTAAATCTTCTTGATGGAATAAGCAATGTCACATAATGCATAAATAACATGCTGGTTATTTGACAAGTATTCCTCATTGATCTTGAATGTTGGTGTGGAGTCAAATGCTTGGTTCTTTAACGCCAAGGAAATGATGTGATCGAATTTCGTCAAACCGGTTTCTTCAGCTTTTTGATCGTACTCTATCAAATTTCTGAAGGTGAAGGAAATGACATGTGACATGAAAGGACCGTTTGGCTGCAAATTCTTGAGGATTGGAACACCGAATCCTGAAGTGTAGAAAGCCAAGAACGGGAGTAAATGATCTTCGCATCCTTCTGGTTTGGACAATAACTCGTGTATCTCGTTGATTTTCGTGGCAACAGAGTTTCCTTTCGATAAAGCTGACACGAAAATGTAAACGTTTATGAGGAAAAGTGGACATTTGATTTGTGATGTGTTTGAAACTATATTTAATATAGTTTGCTCGGCTTCTACAGCGATGTTTGAGCCGCTCATCACTTGTCCAAGAATGGAAAGAGCGCAGGAATAGATGGAATCGTATCCTGTTGGAATTAATGACTGGAATGTGATCTCTGGAACGTTTGTGATGTTAATATGGGAGTAGTTACCGTGTGTAATAATCAGATGCTTGAGATTTGTGGAGATCTTGCTGGAGTTTTCATCTAAAAAGGCTAAAAAGTTCGGATGAACTTTGCCAATCGAAGAAACTTCTTGGGCAAGCTGCATGGCAAGGATCCTGATGGCAGGAGTTGGAGTACAGAGACCGGTAATGATGGCGGAGAAGATGGAAAGTAAACTTTGTTGCTTTAATTCGGCTTTAGCAATATGAATAATGGACATGACGTTTGTTAAGGCCTGGATGTTGTTGTAGAGGTCTTCAAGACTGTAGATTGGATTATTGTTGATGGCTCCGATGATGGAATCTGCTGATTGTGGGTTATGAATTAAAATTGACTGTAAAGTACGTAAGCATGCGGATGAAATATGAGGATTGGCGATGTTGATGTGAAGAGCAAGCTTCTCGATGAATGTTTCTGACTTGAAGAAAGGTATTAATGAAATGCAAGATAATTCTTGAGTCAATTCGTTCGGAGGAAGCTCAGCAACATTAAGCTTGACATCAGTGATCGATTCGAAGACAGATGACTCGTAGAATTTGGCAAGGACAGATGTCCAAGGTTTTGTATCTTTTGCAGAGAATCTGATCGGAGCTCGAAGGATTAATGGGACGGCAAAGTTGGTGTCTTTCATGTTGTACAAACAGAGTTCCAGCTTCTTGTCGACCTTGGGTGGTAAAATTACGTTTTCCCAGTCAGGAGTGAGAGTTAGAGAGTCGTAAAGTGGAATAGATTTATAAACTACGTTGCCTGACTTTGTTGGAATCTTCTCAAGGATAGTTTCAATATGAGATGATACGAAATTGAAAAGATCCGAGAAGAGACCGATGTTCGCTTGAGTAAGATCCTGGAATCTAGATGCAGGAGAGATAATCTGATGAAGACAATCGAAAACGGCGAAACAATTATTAGTCAAGAAATCTGGATGGAATAATTCCTTCAATTTCTTAGTAACAAAATCTTGGAAATCAGCTGCAGCGATGCAAGTTAATGTTTCGGAAAGAGTTAACTGGCAACTGTCAAATAATTCTTGATGATCAAAAATTAATTGAAAAGCCATTGAAGCAATCTTTACTGACATGGCGCTCTTGCATTCAGCGTACTGTGAATGTTGGATTTGGCGGATGAATGGAGGGAAATACGATTTTCCACAAATTAAAGCGCTGATAGCACGTAATTGTATTGGAGCGTTTTCCATTGTAAAGTACTTCGGATCTTTTCCGATGTATTTCGTGAAGTATTCGTCAAGTGGATTATGAAGCTTCGGATGATTCGAAAAAGCGTAGATATGAGCGCGGAATGCTTCGGATGGATCGGCCATTTTGTTGTTTCCTTGGAACTTCTTGGCGATTTCTGACATATCGTAGATAAATTGAGATGATGTTTGAGAAGGATCGAGAATAAAGACTCCAAGGGAGATGTTCATAAGCCATTCGATTGATGCATTATGGTGGATAGCATCTGGTTTGGTATTCTTGATGAGTTTCTCGTATTTATGGCAGATGTTGATTATTCTGGAAACATCAGCACCTTTATCTATAACTACCTGAGAGTAAAGATTGAACATGGTCATAAGAGCAAGTGGTGTATCAGTTGATGGATCTGGAATGTTCTTTTCCATAGAATTTAACACGGCAGGAAGATTTACTTTAGAAAGGAGGCATAATGGCTCAGACCAAAGCTTGGCATTAAAGGCAAATATTGGTCCGGATAATGAGTTTAAATATTTCTGTAAAAGCTGAGGAATTTGATTAATAATTTCTTCCATTTTATCGTCTCCTGAGAGTTTAGAAGCGAGCATAAGTCTCTTTGTGAATGCGCATAATACCTGATTGAAGTATACGTTGAATGCTATCCTGTGATACATGTTATCGACTTTGAATTTTTCCTTGTCAAAGCGTAAAGTCAAATCTACTCCAGAATCTGTTTCGACTTCATCAGTCTTATTGATGTCAAGCTCAGGGAGATCAGCAGCAAACTCCTCGAAGGCGGAAGTGGCTGAATTTGAGCCAATTTGTGCTAAGCTGTCTAAAATATTTAAGGCATTAAAATTTGTAACAAGATCTCTGGAGAGATACTGCTGATATTTAATTTCTGATTCGAGGATTTTGTCCTTTTTGCCAGTTGTGATTGGTATTGGAATATTTGCAAACATTTCATTAGCATCAAAATGGATGCAATCACGAAGACGGCCCATTTGAGATGCTAACACAGTATTTTTCATAAGTTTTGTCGCGAAGGACTGAGCATTCATCCCCTTCAAAAACTTATTTTTATGTAAGACGATTATTCATGAAGAAAATTTGTCAAAAATTAGGCACTTATATTCTTTTATTATGTACGAAGCAGGTATGTAATAAACAGAAATTCATCAAAAGTGACAGCTCTCAATTTTTTGACATTTGTAAATTCTAAATTGAATGAGAAAAATGAAATAATACTAAGCATAATACAATATTCTAGATTTAATTATAATTAGGAAAAAGTTAATTTTGAGAGTACTTTTCATAGGCATATAGAATGAAATCTTCTGAAAAATAATATCACATAAACGCATATTATTTTCTAATATATAACTATTTTATATAAAAATCAAATTCAATGATCTTAAAAGCGAAGGATAAACCTCAAAATTTACGAATATAATGAGTGGGAATATAATGCTTATCTATCATAAAACCATATGAAATATCAATTTTTGCTTTACGCCTAATTTTTGACGACAATTAGCAAAAAATGTTAAATGTTAACACTCAGTCCATTTGAATATGAAAAATAAAATTGACTTTGATTAAATGTTTTTATTTATCATGCAATTCTTCTTGCGACCAAAGATTTGACTAAAAGTTCAAAAAATAAGATAGCTTAAAAAATAATATACGGTAGTGTTTACTAATAGATGAATAGTATATAAATTCTATTAAAATGGATTTGATCCAAAAAAATATATAAAATTTGATCATAAATAAATCGTTTTAAATTACTTCTTCATTTAAATTATAACAATTATTTTTGGTTTATATTTTTTTGGATCAAATCCATTTTAATAGAATTTATATACTATTCATCTATTAGTAAACACTACCGTATATTATTTTTTAAGCTATCTTATTTTTTGAACTTTTAGTCAAATCTTTGGTCGCAAGAAGAATTGCATGATAAATAAAAACATTTAATCAAAGTCAATTTTATTTTTCATATTCAAATGGACTGAGTGTTAACATTTAACATTTTTTGCTAATTGTCGTCAAAAATTAGGCGTAAAGCAAAAATTGATATTTCATATGGTTTTATGATAGATAAGCATTATATTCCCACTCATTATATTCGTAAATTTTGAGGTTTATCCTTCGCTTTTAAGATCATTGAATTTGATTTTTATATAAAATAGTTATATATTAGAAAATAATATGCGTTTATGTGATATTATTTTTCAGAAGATTTTGTGTTCTTCTTCAAAATTTTATTTTTTTATTAAAAAGAATCTTTACAAAATATACATTTACTTTAATTAATATTTAAAAACGTGCTCTATCAAAAGTTCCAAAAATTCAATATTTTAGCTTTTCTGAGGTGTCACTTTTGATGAATTTCTGTTTACAACAGGTATTTCAATGAAGTGACATGAGTTTTGAAATTTTGAATACAAGAGAAACCTTATACAAAATAAATCATGAATTATTTAAAATTCGGAATGATTGAACGATGTCGATCGATTGTAACTCAATTTAATTTTTTTCCGTGTCAAAAAAGATAGTCCAAAATTCTTTTGATATTCAAACTACACCATATACTTATGTATTGCACAAGAAGAAAACTGACTTGAGAAAGTTTTCAGAACTCTACAATTGGAGATAGATCTTAAAATTAGTAGCAAAATTATACACTTGACTAGGATAAGCACCTACTATTATTTTTTCGTTAATCCTTTTTTGGCTCGGATTTCGGCATGGATTTCATATTCAAGATAAGAAACTTGCTATCGTTTATTGGATATTTTTGCCGTAACTAGATATAACAAGGCAATGTGTTGATCTTCAATTGCTGCCTAACAATTTGTTTTGATTGTAATTAATTTGATTAAATGCTACCACAATTGTGTTTTCTAAATGTGTTATCGTGTGATGGTAATAAATTGCTACCTTTTATGAAATGTTTGATAGATTTGCAAAGTAGATATTCATACTTTATTAGTTGTTAAAATTATCGTTTTGGTGTTTCTAATATCGATTTATTAAAGGTTAATGCTGTTGGGAAAAGAAACAATTTATGAAAATTAATAGAGTGTAAATATTTAGAAATAACACAAAATTTATAGCTAAACAGATGCTGATATATATTCTTGTTATTCATGAGGCCCATCTGGGAAGTTTTCAAACATTTCTTCAGGAGTTTTCATCTTATGAAAGTATTCTGGCAAATCATTTCCATTTGGAAGTTTAAGATTCCAGACATCCTTGAAAAATGGATGTCTCATGCAATCTGCGGCTGAATATCTATTATTAACATTCCAAACGAAAATGTGATTAAGAAGATCAAGAAATTCTGGATCTGTATCTGGTGGAAATTCGTTTTGAAGCTTTGTATATCTTGGGCCTATGAAAATTAATGGTAAATTGTGTTGAAAAGTATCTAAATCGCCAATTTTTGGCATACCGATAATCCCCGTAATTCTTTCAAGAACTTCCTCTCCTTTTGTTCCATTGAAGAGAATTGTATGCAAAACTAATTCTGCCAAGACGCAGCCTGCAGACCAGACATCAATTTTTGTATTATATGTCTTGCAATCGAGAATGAGTTCTGGAGCACGATAGCTACGTGTTGCAATGTAGCTTACATTTTTAACATTTTCAACTAAGAATTTTGCGCTGCCAAAATCGCATAACTGGCATCTTCCATCATTTTGATCAATGAGAACATTCGACGGCTTGATGTCACGATGGCATAAACCGAAATGATGAAGATAGCAAAGACCAGCAAAGAGTTGATATCCGAAAATTTTAACAAATCGCATGTCAATTGGTGATTTTACGGAAGCTAGCTTCTCTAAATCCTCAGGAAGGAAATCAGTGACGAGATGAAAATATGCATCTCTATTTGGTCCTTCATTTGTGATAAAACTCTTATAGCAATGTAAGCAGTTTGGATGAGCAAGAAGTGGTGTGATCTGTGACTCTCTGTTCTTAAAGCGGGGGTTCAACCAAACTTTTTTAATTGCGTAAACTTCACCTTTATCATCCTGAACTTTGAAGACTGCTCCAAATGTTCCAATTCCTGAAACACACAGAGTTTGGTATCCTAAATTCTCGTCTAAAGCTCTACCAGCTGGTTTTAAACGTTCCATTCTTCAGTGAAATAATTTTAATTTTTTCAATCAAAAAAAAATAAAACTAGTAAAACAAGCCGAAATATCTAATTTCCTCAAAATTATCCGCGAAGTTCTCAATTAGCAATTTGAATGTTTTACAAGTTCGTTTTTCAGAAATACTTTTCAGAGTTGAATGAAAAGAAAGTTCATAGCGGATTGAATTTCCACAAAAATCATTTGCAGGATTACAAATTCTGACATAACAAGTATACTATATTGTTTTTATACTTAAAATCTGTAAGTTCACTTTTGATTCCCTCATTACATTGATTAGACTACTGGCAATATATTTCCTTCATCATTTTAAGTTTAATAAGATAAAATAATGCTGATAACGTTGATTATCAAGTTTTTAAATTTCATAATTTTATTTAACTACGAGAAATTTGGCATTTTATATCTGGCACTGTTTTTCTCTAGCAAAATTCACAGTTGATTTCGAAATAGGCACGTTTAAATGGAGAAATATTTAATTGCGACTGAGATAAGCATAAAATGTTGGCATAAAAAGATTTTTAATATGCTTGGATTGCTATATTATTCATGAATTAATATTCTTCAAGAGGAAATCTCAAATTCGTCAAATTCGCTCAATAAATGAAAAATGATTGCGCGAATTCATAGCGATTAATAAAATCTGAAAATAAAATAATGTTCGGTGTTCCAATCCGAGATGTTTTAAAATATAAAAGCTTGTTTATAGATTGTAAAACCCAACTTTTGATTAGAAAATTATCCTATTGAATTATTTTAAAAATATCGTCGTACAAAATTTTGAGAACTTTTTACACGTTATTGTAAAAATGGGGTGTATCATGGACACGCCGCAGCGTGTACGCCCCAAACCAAAAGACAAAATGCAATCACCACTCAGTTCATCTCTTGCTGATCCAATGCAGTCGAATGTAATTGATTCAAATACCCTCAAGAATGATTTTATTAACATCATGCAAGGAATTCAGCAGCTCCCTAAACCCGATAAAACTCAACCCGTCGCATGCTTTTCTAAACTTTCGTTTCCAATTCTCATTGCACCGCTTGCTTTGGATTCAGGCGATTCTACTGGCGTAAATTTGCCGGTTATTGGCATATCCCGCTTTGAGAAAGGGCGTGCCGTCGCCTTTGGAAACACTCGCATTCTATTGGAATGCAATAGAGAAAATACAGACGCTTCTGCTTTTCTTGAGAATATAATTAAGTGGGCATCTGGCGTCATTAGAGGATATATATCAGTCCTCATAGTCGGCTTTCAAGACAAAGAAGCTGAAGTAATCACCAAGAATGCAACAGGCTTTGGATTTAGAATTGTCGTACAGAAAGACTTAGAAAATATTCAACATCACCATGTTGTTATCGTACCAAGTGATTTTGACGATCCTGAATACACTCTTTTGCAATTTATTCAAAATGGCGGTGGTCTAATTTGTACATTACAGCCACCAACTCCTGGAGTAGAGCAGGAACGTTATAGAATGAACAGTATTCTTACAGAATGCGGATTGGGATTCCCTTCAACCAATTTATTGGCCGGCCCTGTAAACGCGCCACAGTTGAAAGTTAATTTCCACTTATCCGCATTAGGCAAACTTACTTTCCCTGGTCTGTCACAATCTCTCAGCGAAACACTCAATAATCCAGTTATCGATATTACAGAATTAGACTCTGGTGTAACAGCAGTTCGTTACAATGTTTCTTGCATGCCGCAAGATACAAACCCAGAGCTTGTCCAGCTTGCTGCTTCAGCGCTTGGTTATTTACGCTCACATAATTTCGATACTCCGGAAGGTTTATGTCCAGATATTTCTCATGGCGTTATATCAGTACTTTTATGTGAAATCATGGCCAAATTATCAGCACAAGACTTCGCTGGACATGACTTTTCCGAAAGATTCCCAGAAAGAGCTTCTGAAGAGCCGTCAGAACAAGATGTTGGCACCGTCAGACTTACACTACAGAACGAAGGATGGTATTCTACAGGTTACTGGCTCACAGCTGGCGTTGTTGCCAAAATTACCTTAAATGAAGTACCTCCAGTTCCATTAGTAGTCCAAGTTGGCATGCACGCCGAAGCCATTTTCACAAAAGAAGGTCCTTGGAAGCGCTGGCCAATGATTACAACAACATTCGAGTTAGATGAAGTTACAGAGATCGCAAATCCATTTGGCGGCATGATCTACATTATATTTGATCGCTCTGTCAACACTCCAATCACAATAGATATGACAATTGACCATGTTTTCCCATATCCTCTTTATTCACCTGAAGCACCAGATACATGGGAGAAAACAAAGGACAGAGGAGCTCCTTGGGCAGAAGTAGAGACATACTACATGACATTCGTTGCTCCTTCCAAAGTAGTTAGAGCTTGTCCGAACTTAGAAGCAAATTGTAAGATGATTGACGGTTTAATTGAATCTGTTTTAGAATTTTTAGGTGACCACAGTGAGCATAAGTTCCGTTGCATCTTCGATATCGAGCTCATTGACATGCCAGTCTGTGGATATCCTATCATTATGCATGTAGATAACGCAGAATCTTTCTTTTCAGATACAAATCCAAGTGAATCTTTATTTGTTCTCACAACATTTGTAGGAATGTTGTCTTTGCCGGAAGGAGCTTTCGATGCTGGCAAAGAGTCAAGCCTTGCATGTGCTGCTGCTTGCGCTGCATTCCTTAAGATGTGGCCGCGTGTATCTCCATTGGATTACTCGAGAGATATGTTGCCGCCACAGTTCAATGAGTTGTGGAATATTTACAAGAAAGATAACGGAAGAACGATAACAGCTGCCATGATATCGATCAGACAGATGGAATTCAAGGATAACGAAGATGTTTGGGCGACATTCATCTCTGAGATACAAATGCAGACTGGACTTTCGTTGGACCACCTCATTTCAAATCAAAATGAAGTCAAGGCACAAAGTTCTTTGGCTGTCGTTTCTTCAACATCATCGGCATCACTTCAGTCATTCCAGTTGATCGAATAACTTTTTTTTAGAAAAAAAAAATATTTGTTTTTGTTCATGTGTTGTTATAGATTGTGTATTAAGAATTTTTAAATAAATACTTTTTATGATATATATATATATTTATATTATCCATCTAAATGTTTTAATAAAATTTTCTCAAAAAATTAAGAATTTTTATCTTAATTGATGGCTGATAATCCGTTTTTATCACTCAATATTGATTATTTATTTACTTTAATGCTTCAAATATTCTATATATATTCGATTACAACAATATGTATATATTACTTATTGAATTAGAGGAGAAACACACTTAAATCATAAATAACTACTTGAGTAAGTTCAGGCATCATGCATATATCTTTATTTGATGTTTAATAAAATATATCGCAATTAAAAAATCGTTGGATTTTGTAGGGTTTAGTATGAAATATGTAAATAGAAACTTCTAATATTGAGGAACTTTGCATGCTTTGCCAATATATTTTCCCCATGAATTTCAAAAAATTCATGAAGGCGAGAGCTAAAAAGTGACACTTAAACATGTCTAATTTTGAAATGACCCGAGAAGACCATCAATTGACCACGATTATGCATAATGGAAGAATGTACAACGTTGATATGGCCAAATTGCGGGAAATTTCTCCTAAAATAAAATCACTATCACAAAAACAACCAATTCAACTAGATTTGAGTGACAATAAATACACCGAAGATATATTTAGTTATTTTATAAGGTTAGTTAATGATGATGGTAGTGATGCAATTGATCCATCACTTGCACCGAAACTTGTTAATTTAATCCAGGATTGGGAAGCAAATAGTTTAATATCTAAACTCGAACTTCGAGTCCTATCATCTTCAGATAAGAGTTTATTAATTAATTATATCAAATATTGTCCTGATTCTTTCCATGGTCTACGATCATACTTGGATTTACACATAGATCAGTTTTGTTCATATCCAGAACTATTCGATTTACCGTTAAGTTTGCTATTTACATGCTTAAAAACTCAAAAACTACCAGAAATGACTAGCTATTCTTTTAGTCACCAATATTTAGATATTTATGAAACATCTAAAGAGCTTAAAAGCCAAGAAGAAGACCTTAATCAGCAAAAACTGAAATTAGAAGCACAAGTTAGTCAAATTAAACAAAAAACGACTGATTTAGACTTAGAAAACCAACGAGTACAGAAACAAAATGCTGATTTAGAGCAAGAGATAGAAAAGCTAAAGCAGCAATTACAAGAAAAGAAGAAGATAGTAACTCAACTTCAATCTAATATTAAAGCAGAGACAAAGGTTATGCAAGAGGCACAAAAGAATGCTGAGAAGGCTACTAATGAACTTAACAATGCTAGAAACAGACTTGAAAAACTAAGAATTCAATACGAAAAATTGCAAATTCAATAAAGTGTATATTTAGTTTTAAATTTTTACTTCTTTTATTACATATCTATCTCTGAAAAAGCTAAGCAAATAAATTTATTTGAATTTCTCTTTATATTCTTGCCTTTAGGTACTCAAATATTTTAATAGTGAGAAAATGTACTTTTTCGATATAAAATGAGTGCGAATGAGAGGTGCATGTATGAGGTATGATGAATATACGGATAGTAGAATTGTATTCTCTTAAGTTGTGAAAAAAATCTTTGAGATGACAAGATTTTCCATCGATGAAATTAGTCATTAATGCCTTAGGTACTCTCGTAGAAATACCACCATTTTATTTTTGAAAATATATAGACGCTGATGGTAGAACATGCCTTAGTTAGGCATTTACGGGCACCTACTAGACTCATGTTTACAGGTTAATGATCAAGCTATTTCCTCCAATATTCAAAGTGGAAGCGCTTCTAAAAAGAGTGATAAAAAATGAGAGGTGATATCTAATTGGAAATTAAGCTTAATTATTTTTTTTTCTAATGAATTTTATCTTGATAAATATCAGAAAAAAGAAAGAATAGTATCTTATGTAAGAACATTATATTATTGCACAATTTTCTGCAAAATGAAGAGCGGTTTGTCCAAAATCATCTTTTTCATTGATATTTGCACCATGTGAAATAAGAAGTTCGGCAGTTTCTTTACTATTATATTTTGCTGCTTTATGAAGAGCGGTTTGTCCAAAATCATCTTTTTCATTGATATTTGCACCATGTGAAATAAGAAGTTCGGCAGTTTCTTTACTATTATATACTGCTGCGTTATGAAGAGCGGTTTTTCCATCATCTTTTTCATTGATATTTATACCATGTGAAATAAGAAGTTCGGCAGTTTCTTTACTATTATTTCCTGCTGCATAATGAAGAGCGGTTTTTCCATCATTATCTTTTGTATTGATATTTATGCCATGTGAAATAAGAAGTTCGGCAGTTTCTTTACTATTATATTTTGCTGCTTTATGAAGAGCGGTTTGTCCAAAATCATCTTTTTCATTGATATTTGCACCATGTGAAATAAGAAGTTCGGCAGTTTCTTTACTATTATATACTGCTGCGTTATGAAGAGCGGTTTCTCCATAATTATCTTTTTCATTGATATTTGCACCATTTGATAGGAAATATTCGCAAAGAGATGGAATATTAAACATTGCCGAATTAAAAAAGCATGCATTAACATCATTAGTTTGATCGAAATAAATTAAAAATGATTCAAGATTATTATACAGTACACAATAGTCCAAATCGATCTTTATATTGTGCTCATTCATCAAGAATGTAACAAAATCAATGTTGTGTGAAATAATTGCATAAATCATGCATTCTTTATTTGGTTTCTGATGTTTCAAACATTCACTCATGATCTCTGCATTTCCTCCTAAAAATGATAATGCTAGACATTCTTGAGTTATTTCTGAGTTAAATTTCGTCCTTAGGAATTTGAAACAATCAACTGCTCCATGGTAACAACAAAATTCAAGTAACGAATTTCCTTCGAAAGAATATGGATATAAACTACTTTCAGGTTTTTGATCTTTATTAAATCCTTCTCTTTCAGTAAATGAGATAAATGTTTCTAAGTCATTATTCATAATTGCTCTGAAAATTGTATTTTCTGTATGAATATCAAGATTTTCTGAATTATCTTCTTCAAAATCTTTGTATTTATCTAATTTAATTCCATATTCTTTGTAAAACAAGAGCACAGAAATCGTGGGAATATTTTTGACCTTTTCAACATGATAATCATCAGATATGAGTTTGGCAAGGGATAAATATGACTTTGTATAGCGATTATTATACGGAATGATATTTAAAATGTCTTCCATAATCTTTTTTGGTAGGCATATCTTTGAATCAATCAATTCTGTTTTGATCATTTTGTAAATATCCTTTAATTCTTCTTCTTTTTCCGTTTTCAGCTGATACAATGCATTATGCGAATCGATGTAGTGTTTATAGATACTTCGCAGCTCGTTGTATTTATTTGGATGAATGTCATGCTTGGACGTTAGCATTTTTTTTAAAGGTACTGACACTTCAAATCTGTTAATAGTTTTTCGATGTGGTTAAGATAGAAGATAGTATGGACAAATATAAGACATACTGCGCAGAGAAAATAAAAATTCGTCTGTATGATATTGAGTTAGAATGTACTGAAATATCTTACATTTTTATATTCCGTATAATAATCGCTATACAAAGGACATTAATATTTTTAATATATAAATATCTATTAAACTCAATAGAAGAAACAAATATTATGTTAGACATGCCGTAATCATTGTTCAAAAAGATTTCGGAAATAATTTATGAACATTAATAAAGTTCATAGGTATTAAATGACACAACAACAATAGAATAGTCAGAAGGAATAAGATTTTCATCCAAATGTTTATATTCAAACAAAATAAAACAAGATTCTACAAGGAAGTCATTATATTTGAGATACCAATGAACCTGACAAGAACTATAAGGCTAATCTTCATCAGCTGTGCAAAATTTTAAAATTTAAATGCCAAATTGAAGGTAAATCAAATCCAAGTCACAGATGTTGGTGTATATGCTTTTCGAAGCCACTAAAATCTTAGATGTTTATATGTATTCCTAATTCTATTGCTCTACTTGCCTTAGATTGTTTTACTTGGAATCCAAATTTGCAAAGCGTTATATTATAATACATCTTTGGAATTTGATCGAGGAGTTTTCTACAAATCACTAAAACTCCTAGAAATCCGTGGGAAGGCTTAAAATAGTTTTGGTCAATCAAATATATAATGGATTGTTTATTGTGGTATATTGCTAATTAATGATGATTAGTGATCAACCAAAATTTCTCTACTGCCACAAACTTGACTAGAACAGATCACTGTGAACTTCATAATTTTCACTTTAGAGAGTCATTTGCCGGACACATTTATTTACAGTCTAGGGATTTATCGTGAGTTAAGAACTGACTAGCATGTTAAGATGATATATTCGAATTTGAGAAATATGAATTCAACATATTACTGATGACAACAACAATATATTGCCTATAGATTTTATGCTATTAACCTAAATTGTGTTATAATACGCTTATATCAACCAAATTTTCCATCTTAAGTTAGAATATTGAAATAAATCTGAATTGAACCTACGATTTCGATTTGTTAATTCAGATTTATAGGTTCTGAAATACATAGCATATAAATTACAGAAGTGAAATCCAACTCCTTCATGCCAAAATCAATCTATACCTCATGATCGGAATGATTTTTGGGGATGATGATCATGAAAAACATACATTCCCTTCTATTTTTCATTGAGAATGGAATCAATTAAGAATTAGTATCTCATCATATTAATCGAAAAATGCAGTGATCATAGACATGGGCTGATTAAAGAATTTTCGACTTTAATGTCTTTTACAGAGCTGAAGAACAAACGGAATTATAATAAACGCTTTTTAAATGACGAGGACAGGATTTTCATCCTTGATTTCGCCTATTGTTTTTTATGATCAAAAAATTATGTAAGTTAAAAATGAATAAAAGAAAGTATGGATTCGCTTGCTCATCAAGAAACTAACTTGATTAAAATTAAAAGTCGAGAACCGCATTTGAGTTATTACGATTCACTTATTAATAATGAACATTCTTTTTCGAAAAAAATATTACACCTTGTTGTAAACAGAAATTCATCAAAAGTGACACCTCAGAAAAGCTAAAATATTGAATTTTTGGAACTTTTGATAGAGCACGTTTTTAAATATTAATTAAAGTAAATGTATATTTTGTAAAGATTCTTTTTAATAAAAAAATAAAATTTTGAAGAAGAACACAAAATCTTCTGAAAAATAATATCACATAAACTCATATTATTTTCTAATATATAACTATTTTATATAAAAATCAAATTCAATGATCTTAAAAGCGAAGGATAAACCTCAAAATTTACGAATATAATGAGTGAGAATATAATGCTTATCTATCATAAAACCATATGAAATATCAATTTTTGCTTTACGCCTAATTTTTGACGACAATTAGCAAAAAATGTTAAATGTTAACACTCAGTCCATTTGAATATGAAAAATAAAATTGACTTTGATTAAATGTTTTTATTTATCATGCAATTCTTCTTGCGACCAAAGATTTGAATAAAAGTTCAAAAAATAAGATAGCTTAAAAAATAATATGAGTAGGTGACAAAAGTGCATACTCTTAAACAACCGTCGGATTTCCGGGTGAAATCGTGACACACTTTCGTCTTTCGTAGGCAGTGGTGGTTGTTACAAAAGGTAACTTCGAATGTAGCGTGAAATCTGCAAAAAAAATTCTGAAATTTGAATGGAGAACACAAAAATTGAATAGTTTACGTCAATAAAAAAGAGAAAAATGAAGCCAATGTGTCTCGAACCTAGGACTTAGAGCAGCAATCCCACTGTTTATCACATTACACTACATGCATCTCTCACCTCAGTGAATGAGATCAACTATATGATAACTTTTTCCCCATTATATTCTTGTGGAAAAGTGACAAATAGCAACTTTGACCCTCTCTCAAAATAATATACGGTAGTGTTTACTAATAGATGAATAGTATATAAATTCTATTAAAATGGATTTGATCCAAAAAAATATAAAACCAAAAATAATTGTTATCATTTAAATGAAGAAGTAATTTAAAACGATTTTATTTATGATCAAATTTTATATATTTTTTTGGATCAAATCCATTTTAATAGAATTTATATACTATTCATCTATTAGTAAACACTACCGTATATTATTTTTTAAGCTATCTTATTTTTTGAACTTTTATTCAAATCTTTGGTCGCAAGAAGAATTGCATGATAAATAAAAACATTTAATCAAAGTCAATTTTATTTTTCATATTCAAATGGACTGAGTGTTAACATTTAACATTTTTTGCTAATTGTCGTCAAAAATTAGGCGTAAAGCAAAAATTGATATTTCATATGGTTTTATGATAGATAAGCATTATATTCTCACTCATTATATTCGTAAATTTTGAGGTTTATCCTTCGCTTTTAAGATCATTGAATTTGATTTTTATATAAAATAGTTATATATTAGAAAATAATATGAGTTTATGTGATATTATTTTTCAGAAGATTTCATTCTATATTCCTATGAAAAGTACTCTCAAAACTAACTTTTTCCTAATTATAATTAAATCTAGAATATTGTATTATGCTTAGTATTATTTCATTTTTCTCATTCAATTTAGAATTTACAAATGTCAAAAAATTGAGAGCTGTCACTTTTGATGAATTTCTGTTTATTACACACCTAACAATTTATATCAGTTTAATTAGAAATTATCAAAACCAATGAATAAAATTCTCTGATCAGAAAATTGATTTGAACTTTTTGAGTAAGAAACGCAAATTCAAAATTGGAAAAGAATTAAAGAATCGTTGATATTTATTGATTAGAATTCAAAATTTATTTGGTCAGATATTGGATTAAGTTTGTAATAATAAAAACTTAATTAGGTAATCATTTTAATTTGGAAATTACGAAAAAACTTATCACTTTTACGTTATCCTAAATTGAAAGCCATTGAATCATAGGAAATAAGCGACCAAACAAAAATATCTCTATATTAGGTATCAAGATGATCTAGATCATTTTTTAAACTGTCTCCGAGATTTTTGAACAAATCTGTTCACATATCGGAATAATGTGCGGTATCTTTGCTTACATGAATTTCATTAAAGATAAAAAGCTTAAAGACATCCTTATAAAGCTTCTTGGAGGTCTTAAAAAGCTAGAGTACAGAGGTTACGACTCATGCGGAATTGCATTTGATATCGGTAACGAATACGAGCGCATGATCGTCACTGCAAAGTCCAAGGGAACAGTTGATAATCTCTTAAATCTCATCAAAGATTATCTTACAAATGAGACAATTTTCGAAAATCATGTTGCCATTGCCCATACAAGGTGGGCTACACACGGTCCACCAACAGCTGGAAATGCTCACCCGCATATTTCGTCTCCAAAGATGGAATTTGTCGTTGTTCACAACGGTATTATTTCAAATTATGCCGAAATGAAGAACAGATTGCTTCAAGAACCAACATTCTCTGTTTCACCTAAACAAAACAACGATGATACCGAAATCTTGATCGAAGATGAAAAGAATTCCAAAGCAGAATTCACTTCTGAGACAGACACAGAAGTTTTGGCCAAGCTTGCCTTGTTCATGTATAACAAGCTCACAGTTGAACTCGGCAGACAGCCAACATTCCTCCAAGTTATTGCAAATACAATGAAACTTGTCGAAGGAACATTCGGCGCTGTTTTCAAATCATCCATTTATCCAAATGAAGTCATTGCCTGCCGTCTTTCTTCCCCATTACTCCTTGGTCTTGTTTATGATGGCGATAAACAATATTCACAAGCAGCTCGCTCCATTGATATGAAGAGAGAAGACAGAGTTGGTTCCATCCATGACTTTGGTGAGCCAATTTCCCACTCAGCTCCAAAGCCAGGCGAACTTTTCCTTGCATCTGACGCTCCTGCCTTTGCTGAGTACACAAAGAACGTCATTATCCTCGAAGACTGGGATATTGTCCACATTTCCGAGGAAGGTGTCGACATTATCAACACAGCTCCAACAAATGTCCAGACCAACTCAACACGTTCATTAGAAACACTCCAACTCTCACTTGAAAACATCGCTAAGGGCAAATACGGACATTTCATGCATAAGGAAATCATGGAACAGCCACAATCATTAGCTTCTACAATGAGAGGCAGAATTTTACCAGGAAGTACAGATATACACCTCGGTGGTATGATACCTCACATCGATACAATCAAAAACTCGAAATACCTCATTTTCATCGCTTGTGGTACATCATACAACGCTGCTCTTGCAGTTAGACCACTTTTCGAACAATATACGAAGCAGAGAATTTTCGTTGAGGTCGCTTCCGACTTCAATGATCGCAAACCAGTCATTTTCAGAGATGATGTTTGCGTATTCCTTTCCCAATCAGGCGAAACAGCTGATACATTAACTGCTTTAGAGTACTGCAAGAGCGCCGGTGCATTCTGTGTTGGTATCAACAATACTCCTGGCTCATCAATCTCCCGAGGAACACATTGCGGCATTCACCTCAACGCAGGTATCGAAATCGGTGTTGCATCAACAAAGTGCTACACATCAATGATCGAAGCACTCATAATGTTCCTTCTTTTGCTGATGCAAGATTCGATTTCCCAGAGAAAGGAGAGAAAGAAAGCTCTTCAAGCCTTGGCATCTCTTCCATCCATTGTCGAAGAGACATTGAAGCTTTCTCCAACAATTCAAGAGATCGCTCCTTTCGTTGCAAACGAACAGAACTTGATCATGTTGGGCAGAAAGACACATTACGCAACAGCCAGAGAAACAGCTCTGAAGATCAAGGAACTCACTTACATCCACTCCGAAGGTCTCATGGCCGGCGAACTCAAACACGGACCATTGGCTTTGATCGATGACCATTCAATGGTTATTTTCATTGCTACAGGAGAAGATGACGAAATGCTCGCTGCTACACAGTCTTCTCTCCAGCAAATCAAAGCTCGTGGTGCTAAAGTCCTCGTTGTTGCAACACAGGATGATATCCCAAGAGTCAAGGAGTTCTCTGACTGGTTAGTTATTGTTCCAAAGACTTGCCAGTGGACACAGATGATTGTAAACATCATCCCAATGCAGTTACTCGCGTACTACGTCGCTTTGCAGAAGGGAATCAATGTAGACAGACCAAGAAACTTGGCTAAGGCTGTCACAGTCGCATAAAAACATTTCTTTTTTTCTTGTTCTTCCAAAAAAATTAACTCCTTCTTTTTTTGCACAATGGAAAAAAATAAAGATTTTCCATTTTTTTTTTCACCAGAAGTAGTCCAACTTTAAGTAGTAATAATCAGTGACCAATATTTACAAATATACAATGGAGTTTGCTCCTCCACCATTGGAGTTATAAGCTAGTTAGAACTTACCAAATATATTTATAATAATCAGTGACCAATATTTACAAATATACAATGGAGTTATAAGCTAGTTATATTTGGTAAGTTCTAACTAGCTTAGAGAATGGAGCTTGCTCCCCCACCATTGTGCTAAACAATAAACAATAACAAAAAAGCCTTTTCCTTTCTTTCTTTCGTTTTTTTTTAACTCTTTTATGGCTTTTATGCATTTTCTATGTATTTGAAAGGAAATTAGATTGATGTTAGACAGATTCCCATCTAGAAAGATCCATTAAATAACTTTTTATTAGGAAATTTCAATTATTCAAACACATTCTCAATATATTTCATGTAAAACTTTCTATTATCAGGTATATAATTTGTTATCTTAAGTATATCCTTCTAAGTCATACGAAAGCGAATTTTTATGATCAAATTTTTTGTAAAAATGATTTTTTGCCAAAAATTGAGACCATCTGGACCGCTTTATAGATGCTTATTGCCAAAACTGAGAATTCAAATTTTAAAATCATCTAATTTATCAATAAAATTGAAAGAACTTTGGGAAAAATATATACAAGTTTAATTTATAACTTTGCATGTAACTTCCATTGGCTTAAGGGTGCACCCGTATGTACGTTTATTTGAGAGGAGGAGGATTACCCTCTCAATTTTGAGGGATTCATCAGTTTATTTTCTCGATGAATATGCAATAAAATTTGATTTTTACCTTATCAATATACTTCATATAATATACACATGTTCATGTAAAAACTTTTTTCCAAAATCCTCAGGAATTAAGGGATTTTTGAATTTTAAGAATTTTTTTCGAATTTTTTCGAAAAAAAAAATATTTTCAGAACAGCCTTAACGGCTAAGATTTAGGAACAATGTTAAGTATCAAAAAGAAAGGAGGTCTGATATAGACAACATATATCGTTGAAGGTTGAAAAAATCTCTAATATTTGAGCCCAAAATTTCAAATTTTAATTTTTTGAAAAAAGAGGCCACCCGTATGTACGTTTATTTGAGAGGAGGAGGATTATATTTTTGAAAGGGTGAAACATTATGAATATGTTAATTATATAATAATATGTATTATTATAAAAAGAAAAAATAAAGCACGTTAAAATTTTTCTTTCTTGATTTTTTACAAAATCTACTTAGAATTATGCAAAATATGACTAAATAATTATAAATTTCAAGTTAAATTTTAATTTTGATAAATAATTTAAATTTCAAAATATCAAGTTCAGTTCGACTATGTATGTAGTAATTCCTCAATAAAGTGCCAAAACCCTATTAAAATATATGAACATTTTCAACATTTTAATGTTTTTATTTAAAAATTTGATGGAATATGAGATTCAAACAATTATTATGTAAATAAAAATAATTAAATATATGTATTTATTCGTATTACAACCGTAGTAAGTCGATTCTTCCTTTCTTCTACTGAGTTTTGAATTTGATTTCGAATTGTAAAGAAATTCAAAGGGAAAATACTAGCGGATAAAAACTACCTCCATGAAAGGGTCATAATGGACTCAAGTTGTATTTTTTGATATTTTTTGCTTTTCGAGCCTAAATAGGTAGCCAAGATAATGCCTAAAAATAAGGTTCTAAATTCTGAAGTTTACATGATCCTCTCGTGTGCACCCTTAAAACGCATTTAAAAAATTATTAATGTGTGACCAAGACATCCATCCAAATAAATACTGTGAATTGCGAAGTATATATAAATACTACATAGATTTGCATAATGCATTGTATCAGCTGAAAACGGAAAAAGAAGAAGAATTAAAAGATATTTACAAAATGATCAAAACAGAATTGATTGATTCAAAGATATGCCCACCAAAAAAGATTATGGAAGACATTTTAAATATCATTCCGTATAATAATCGCTATACAAAGTCATATTTATCTCTTATCAAACTCTTATCTGATGATTATCATGGGGAAGATGGCAGCTCGGTTGAATATATATCAAGATTACTGTTTTACAAAGAATATGGAATTAAATTAGATAAATACAAAGATTTTGAAGAAGATAATTCAGAAAATCTTGATATTCATACAGAAAATACAATTTTCAGAGCAATTATGAATAATGACTTAGAAACATTTATCTCATTTACTGAAAGAGAAGGATTTAATAAAGATCAAAAACTTAAAAGCGATTTATATCCATATTCTTTCGAAGGAAATTCGTTACTTGAATTGTGTTGTTACCATGGAGCAGTTGATTGTTTCAAATTCCTAAGGACGAAATTTAACTCAGAAATAACTCAAGAATGTCTAGAATTATCATTTTTAGGAGGAAATGCAGAGATCATGAGTGAATGTTTGAAACATCAGAAACCAAATAAAGAATGCATGGAATATGCAATTATTTCACACAACATTGATTTTGTTACATTCTTGATGAATGAGCACAATATAAAGATCGATTTGGACTATTGTGTACTGTATAATAATCTTGAATCATTTTTAATTTATTTCGATCAAACTAATGATATTAACAAATGCTTTTTTAATTCGGCAATGTTTAATATTCCATCTCTTTGCGAATATTTCCTATCAAATGGTGCAAATATCAATACAAAAGATAATTATGGAGAAACCGCTCTTCATAAAGCAGCAGAATATAATAATAAAGAAACAGCCGAACTTCTTATTTCACATGGCATAAATATCAATGAAAAAAATAATTATGGACAAACCGCTTTTCATACAGCAGCAGATAAAAATAGTATAGAAATCGCTGAACTTCTTATTTCACATGGTATAAATATCAATGAAAAAAAATAAACTTGGAAAAACCGCTCTTCAAATTGCAACGCTTATGGATAATCAAGTTATCATCAAACTTCTTAGATCATATGGTGCAAAGTATTAGTGTTTCTATTTAAGATGCTTCATAAAAGAGAACTATTTTAGTCTGAGTTGACGTTCAAAATAATATTAATTTGAAATACTCGCAAAATTGTTCAGAACATCGGATAACTTCATTATAGACTACAATTGTCTATCTACTTCTAATTAGTTTAGATAATTATTATCTCTTAAATACTATTTTTATCAAATTTTATTTCGAAATCTAATCAGTTTCTAATTAATTTCAGCTGAATATATATTAGCATTCAAAAATAATCCAAAATCAATTATTAGTTCGAGAGTTCATAACCTGCTTCTAACTCGTGATGCATCATGCAGTACTTCCTAGTTTGTTGTTAAGAAATCTCTGAAAATATCTCTCAACTTTTTAAATTTAATAAAGAAATGTTTTCACGCTTTAATATATTGTTGTAGGAGCTATGGCCAAATATTTTGTTAATATAACAAACACTTATATAATCAATAGGTATTTACTGTTACCCCCTTTCTTTTGTTGATGAAAATTAATAACGGGCACTTTTCAAAACACTTATGGAAAAACTTAGGTCAAAGAATGGAGTTATAATGACAGATACACTGGCAGGATACGAAATTGTCCGTCAGGGCATCTTTGATTATGGTGATTACATGGAAGATTCAACAGACGCAGATCGAGCACAATTACCACCAAGAAATTTACTTCTTCACATTGGTCTTCCTGGTGTAACAGATTATAAGACAATTGATTTAAGCGTTTTACCAAAAAAGGCACACATTAAAGCAGGAATTCACAATTTTGATATTCCTTTACCATTCGAAGTACTTTTAGATGACATGAATGCAAAATGGAAGGCTCCAATCCTTACAGTTCAATTAAAAGTTAAACCTCCACCAGTTAAAAAATATACTAAAGAAGATGTTGCAAAGTTTGCAGGTTTTGAGGTTCTTTCTGAAGAGCAAATACCAGAACTCCCAGAGACAGAAGTAATTGTCCAAAATGGTCAAATGTCAGTCACAAAGAAAGAAGGTGAAAATCCACCAAAACCAGCTCAGTTCTACATGAGTGTTGATGAAGCAGTTGTTACAGTTGTCCTTTACTTTGCTCGCGCTGTGGAAGATTCAATTAAAATCGAAGGAAATCATATTTCAGTTAGTAACGAATCGGGACAATTATATGAAGTTGATATCAATCCACCATTCCCACTTAAGACTTTACCACATATAACTATTACTCCAATTCAAGTTAGATTAATGTATACAGAAAATCTTAATGATAAACCTGAAACAGAGGAAAAGGAACCAACAGAAGAAGTCAAGAGATTGACTGATATGAAATCAGATCCTACATATGAGCTTCAGAACGCTTTCATCTGGGAATTAGAGCCTTAAGCAATATTTACAGTATATCTTTGTTTATAATATTAAGTTCTGTCAGAAGTCATAACTTTTCTTTATAAAATGTCTGAAATAAAATAAATGTTTTTTAAATTAATGGTTTAAATCCAAATAACAAACAAAATAAATGAAGAAATCTACTCATTAAGTTCTGATACCCGCTTTTTGTAAAATTTTTGAAGGCTATATAAAGTTTTTGGTGATAATAAATCAACATTAATAACAACGTTGTCATCTTTAATTTCTCCTTGAGGATCCAGTTCAACTATTTTAGCTATGTGCTTTAAATCATCACCTTTCGCAACTATTCGACTCTGCTCAATTAATTGATCTTTTTCTTTACTTGTAAGTGGTTTATACTCTGGAGGAATGTATTTAATATCTGGGAAAAATCGAATTGTTGAAGATTGTGGCGGTGACACTAACAGCTTATCTAATTTTTCTCTCCATATGTATAAATATTTCATCCAGCCTGAAATTTTCTGCATTGATATTCTTTTTTTCATAGATTCGCATTGCTTTGCCATGTGCCTTGCAATTTGAGTGACATATGAATCTTTTCCATTATAAGCTTCTGCGTTACTCCATACTAATGCAATATCTTTTTCCCATTGTTGATAGTTCTGATACTCAGAGGATTGAAGACGTTTTAGAATAGTACCTAAGTCTTGTGGATTTTTGATTACTTTTACATAACGTTCGTAATCTTTAAGCTTTGCTTTCACTGGTTCATTAAATAAAACAGCACATGGCATTTGCATTAATTCCTGAGTTATTTCCTGACACACTCGTAACTCTGCCTGATGGGTTGCTAAACTCATTTTTCTTAATTTTTTTTTCTATCAAAAATTTAAAAGAAAACAACAGAAAATTTGATCGCAATTAAATTCATAAAATTTTATAAATATATCGCTCATTTTATCAGTATTTATTTGGGATCAAATTGAAATTTTATCGTTGAGAATATCTCAGAAAATATATGTTTTCCATTTATATTATAATTCAAGAACATATTGCGTGTTTTGGTTAATTTTGACAAAATTTGTGATAATTTTTACACTCTTTCAATGTAAAATTTATCCAACTTTATTCTTTCAATATTCATGAAGTATGTAAGAATTTATAGGTTTTTATTAAGGAAGTCAATTTGGAAAATTGTTTTCACTTTAGGAGAATATAATTTTCCATTTGGAAAATTTAAAAAGTGAGACGCGCAGGATTCGAACTTTTTTAAAAGTTGATTTAAATGGATTTTAGTGTGGAATATAAGGATAATATCATATTTAAAATAAGAATATACTAGTTTAGGTGGTATTAATTTTTTTCGATAAATTTGAGAGTATGTACGTTTAGGGCATGAAAAGTGTCAATTCGCTCAGCGAAAGCTGAGCTAGCTTCGTTCTCGAAAGAATAAGGAAGGAGTGAAGGAGAATGATACAGAAGTTGACACATTCATATCATTTCAACAAATTTTGATCAAATTGAAATTCAATAAAATTCAATTCAATTCATATCCTTCAGTCAGTACATTGATATCCTTCTGCATCACAATGATAACTCGGGCATCAATAGTTCTACAACTAACTCAGAAAAAACAAGATTATTACTTCCTGCTTACAGCTTTTAAAAAGTTTCGATGATAAAAATCACTCTACTCTCATTTATCGACATATGGTGATAGTAGGTAAACATATTCTTATCGATATTAATAAAAATATTTGTACGAAAATCTTATCCAATTAGAGAGTTATTCATAAAGTATATGATAATTATAATTACTTTATCTTTGTTTTATCTTTGAATAAACAATTTAATTTAAATTGCATAATATTTTTTGGTTGAAAGACAGGAAACTTAGTTGAGTTTGTATTATTTTTATCGTTTAATTCATCGTATCAGTGAGTGATCCAGATATTTAAGATATTTAGAAAAAAATTATTAATTTGATTAACAAATTTTAATCAAAATAGCAAAAATCTATTTGATAGCTGTAAACAAACAATAATTTTTATTTCAAGCAAAATCACTTACCAATTATGTCTAAACGTATAAAATTGTCAATTTTATGAAAATAAATTGAAAATCTCATGAAATGTAAAGGAGAGTAATATTTTTCAATTTTCTTTTTTTCTTTGTCTCAAATATTTTCTGTTGGGAATTTTCTTGTTATCAAAAAATAATTTTAATATTTGTTTATTTCATTACATACAATAAAATTTTAAAAACTCTATTTCTTTTCAAGAAAATTTTTCCTTCATATGAAGAAACATTTTGTTCTCCATTTGATACTGAGTCTAAATCTCGATTTTTGAATTTTCTTCTTTCCAAATTTCTTTTTTCCAAATTAGAAGTTTAATTCAAATTTTCAATAGTTTATATATTTTCTCAAACCGTCTCAGATTTTCGCACTTTTTAGGGATTTTCTCTCAAAATATACAAAAATAGTAATATCAATACATGTGTCTAATATACTTTAAAACCATCGTGACAAAATTCAAAAACGAAGAGATCTTCTCTCCAAATTTTTTTCAAAATCAAAAAAATGAGATAAAAAAGTACGTTTGGAAAATTCATTTTTAGCATTTTAGGAATTTTCTCACTTTTCTTCCAAATTGACATCCTTATTTTTATAAATTGCAATCTCACTTTTTATAACTTTTTCTCGGAGATCTGCTTTTTTTCGCTGTGTTAGTTTGGAAGATTGGACTATTACACTTTGATTTAGGTGAATATAATGCTTCGAGGAATTCTTTTGAAGTTATTTTAACTTATTTTTGTTTCATTATTTTGAACAAAATTAAGAATTTTTTTGAATTATAGAAATATCATTTTCAATACAAATTCATTAAAGGTGAATGAATATATTTTTCACCTCCTAGGTCTCAGAAATATGCTTTGAAGATTCGATCGAAATAATTTCAATTATATTCTCAAGCATTGTCTTTTAAATATTTTGGTTCAGCTTATAAAATCATTCAAATCCCCAAATGCATGCAGCTTTTTAGAATTCATGAATTTGGTCAGAGAATTCTTCACCAAAATTAAACATTTTAAATGATTTGTGAATTAGAATCGATTTATCATCCCAAAGTATTGACATTTAGTGAACTTTTATTCTGGAATAGCTTCTCGTTGAAGAAATATAAGTGTTTTGAATTCTACCGTGAGTGGTTTGTAAACAATTTCTATCGTTACATGTGATATCACTAACGTCCTATTTCCTTCAAAAAGTGAACTCAAGTATTTAATTTTAGTTTTTGAAAGCAAGAAGATATATTTACTTGCATATAATAAAGAAATACATTTTACTCAATTAATTTTGTTCAAATCGATTCATCGCTTTTTCTTATTGTTTTCGGCGGAAATATAGCTCTTTTATGATATCATACACAAAGGTTATCATTTCGTAGCATTTCATTTTTAAGAATTACATTCTCTCAATTATTTTTTTTTAGTTTTACTTGATGTGCAAGGAAACAGACGAGGCTCCAAAGCAGGAAAAGCAGGCTCCAAAGAAAGAAGAGAAGCCAGCTCCAGCTCCAGAACCAAAACCAGCTCCACCGGCTGAAGAGAAGCCAAAGGAGGAGCCAAAGCAGACACCACCACCTCCACCACCAGAAAATCCACCAGTAGTTCCAGCTGTTCCATCAGCTCCACCGCCACCAGTAGAGCATACTGATTCTGATATTTCTACATCAACACCATCTAGTAGCGTTACATCTAGCTCTAGCTATACATCTTCTTCTTCGATATCCACATCATCTGGATCATCTTCTTAAATTGGTTATTATTTTTGAATCTTACTTATTATAAAGAATTAGGAGAATTTGTCCTTCTTATCTGAATTTCTCTTTTTTATTTTGCTTTTTATATATCTTTTGGCTCACATTTAAAGCTACTTATCATATTTCTCATGATCGTTGTTGATCAAAGTTTGAATAACTTTCAACAATATCCAATTTGTCCATGAGATTCATTTCAGTGATCATTGTGCTTTATTTTTATATCTCTATATGGAGCATATATTTTTCATACTTTTATTTAATGATCTCTTTCCGAAAACGATTTTGATGAAATCGTTTAGTCCAAATTTCAGTTTGCTGCATTAATCATCGGCAAGCATTGCTAATGTTAGTACAGGATCTCTATCACCTAAGGTAAATAACCTCGATTTTTTCTATTTGGTTCTGATCATTACTCATTGAATCATGTTCTTCATATGTTCACAATAGTATATATAAAATATAACTCATTTAATATCAGTTAACTCATTTATTTTTAAAATACAATTATTCTCATTTATTTTATTGATCTAAATTTCATACAATCACAATGAGAAGCTTTAATTTGCCCCAAAACAAACATTATGGATCTGAATTGATTCACTACTAAATCAATAATATAAATATTAAAATTGTCTAATTTTTTTTCGTATCATTAGCAGTGAGAATTAAACGCACCGATTTTAATCATGATTTATGATGTTCAACTTGAATGAAATAACATTCATGATAATTGCATTAATTAGAAGGATATAATAAAGATTTTAGCATGAATGAGGGAAACACAATCATGATTTATTGCCTTTTACTCTTTGTGTAATCATTTCGTTAAAATAAATATACCAATAATTTCACAATTCATATAGTATGAAGCGTGATAGCAAAATCAGTTATGAGCAACAAACTCATAATTTATCAGTTGAGATTTTCAGACTATCAAAAACTCTAATGAATGAATTTTGTAATAGCTCTCATTCGCATTTTAATTATTTCTTGAACCAAGATAATTTATTTCAATAGGTTAGGATGTACCATAGACATAAATCTAATTTATATAAATATCATTGCTCCTTAATATATATTCCGGAAGAAATGATTCGTGATTCTTACAGACACTTCAGTTTTGTTAAAATAGCAAAATATATAACAAAAAGCAAGTACATTTATTGTATGGCACAAACTTATTTTATGAAATTTATGTGGCATAACCATTTGAAAAGGTGAAAAACGGAATTTATATTCATTGAAAATAAATTTACGAGAAATACCTTGATATCACAGAATTGGCAATTTCTTTCAGATCGCATACTGCGGGATTTTTTAAACCATTCAAATTTTTCAATGTATGATTGTCAATTTTTATTTGTTCAAAGTTTAAAATTATCGTTTAGGTCATATAGAGGTGCTATAATTATGAACAAACAAGTTCGATTTTTTATACAAAAGATTTTGATTCCTTCACAAATTTGAAAATACAAACAATTTGATTTGGAATATTTGTCACTTTTTAAATAAATGGGAGCTTTCACATCTGGGCCTTTGAGTCTATATGTTGAGGGATTCGATAATCAATGGAATGATAAGCAAATAAACAATTTTCTGAAGCATTCCTGTGCAATAGATTATTCATATTTACAACGCGATTCTGATAAAAAACATTTTATCATAAAATTTGATAACCAGGAAGATCTGTTAAACGGAACAGAAAAGCTTAAGAAAATAAGGATTAAGAACGATGGCCTCAAAATCATTAAAATCGGCAAAGATATCCAAGAGGCAAGGAAAAAGATGAAGGAGCTCAGCACTGTTTACGAAGTTATTCCGACTTCGGACACAGAAATTCTAACTCCATTCGCTAATATTCCGTATCCTGCTCAAATCAGGACAAAAGAATTGGCGACTATGAAAGAAATATCCAGTTTATTTAATACTCAGTTCCCTAATATAACTGTTTTACCTTCTCCATTACTAAATTTCTTTTGTAATCGCTGTGTTCTCAGCATTGGTTTTAATCAATCAAATCAACCAGATATTGGCTTTATAAGTGGAACAAAATCTGCTCCATTCATAGTACCCCTACAAAACACATCATGTTTTCCCCTAGAAGTATATGAAATAGTCAAAATATTCAAAAATATAATTTCCCATACCAAAATAATGCCATATGAACGCCTCACAGGCTCAGGATATTGGACAGCATTGAATATACAAATAGCTGAAACAGGAAATATAATAACTATTGAATCCCATAAGGAGATACCAAAAGATATCCAAGACCAACTAACTTCTGCCTATGAATCATACGAAAATCTTTGTATAGTATCTAAGAATATCCTAACAATCCTCAAAGGATCCCTTACTTTGCATCAAAAAATATATGATATAGATTTTAAGGTCAAACAATCAATATATTTACCACCAAACATATCCGCATTCCAAGAGTTTATTAAGTATTTGAATGAAATGATCCATGTGCTTGGAATCGAAGAATTAATCTCTTTGAATTCAAATTACGGATTTTTATCACTCTGTTTGCATGAACATGTCAAAAAGTTGACCTGTGTAGATAATGACAACCATGCCATCGAACATTCAAAGAAAACTGCGAAAAATAATCAAATCGAAAATGTCGAGTTTGTCAATGACTCATCCGATGATAGTATCGTTAATCTACTTTCATCTAAGGACCTCTTCAAGACTGCAGTTCTTATTGAGTACAGAAAAGCTCCATCATTTTTAGATTTGATTACAAACGTTTTCAATTGGAGACCAATGTATGTGATCTTGGTCGCAGAAGGAACAACATTTCCAAAGGAATTATCCTTGTTTAAAGAAGGATACACGCTATTTGACACAATTTTGTGCGATATGACACCTCATACTCGAAGAGCATTGTATTGCACAATTCATCGTCTTGATCTCAGCGAAATTTAACTTTTTTCACCAAAATTTTTGTTTGTTTTTACTTTCTAAAATTTATTTTTCTGCTTTTCTTAGTTTTGAGTTAGTAAGGTGATAATGGTCAGGCATTGAATAAATATTAATATATCTATTTCCTAAATTATGAAGCTTAATATTACGAACTCAAACAAGATATTCATATAAAACTATTTTGTTATTTGTATGTATGAATGTAAATATAACATATGCCATGAATTTCCTTTTTTCATCTAGATAGAACAGATTCTCTTTTGTGAATATATCCTCATTACATAAAATATTCCAAATTGATACATCCTGCAATAGGAAAACTCCATCTAAACTATTAATATGACCATGTATTATGAATTAAATAAGCAAGCTGCATTCAAAGCGCTTAATAAAATGAGTTTCATGCAAATATTAAAAAATGATTCATAATTGTTTTGGTGCAAATGAATCTCTTTGCATAAGAATTGTAACAGTTCACTATGCGTATTAGAAAAATGGCGTAAATTGTTTAACAAACAAGATATATTTATTGTATAATATAAAAGAGTTGTATAATAGTAACTAGAATGAAGTACATATGATCTTCTTACATTAAAGTAAAACTACACTTTGAAAAATCTGTATTTGAATGTATCATGAATTAATTTGGAAATAAAAACACGATTATCTAAATATAATAAGGAAACAATCTGGAACACCAGCTCACGCGTATATAGGAATGAACGATAGTAGTCAATTTGAATTGCATCTTTAAATTAAAAGTAATTTCCGCCTGGCAAAGGCCACATTTGCTTCATTTCCTCATCAAGTTGCTCAATTGCTCTGTTTTCTGCATGAACATCTGATTTTTCGCTAATAAACTTTAAATATGAATTGGCTTCTTCAGGGGTTTTGAAAGAGAATGTGATTTCTTGAGTTGTAGTAAGGAAAAGAAGAGAACATTTGGTAGGGTCCGAAGGCTTAGCTTCTACAATTGATCTTTTTATTGGATATGATGTTTTAAACAAAATTGAGTTTGGAGAGTCTCCTACATACAATATAAATCCTTTATCATTATGGTGATCGATTTTAAGAAAGACATTTCTTGATTTTCCTTTATCAATCATTGTCACAGCGGCAGGCTGAGGAATCATACTCATTAAAACCTTTTTATTTTTGTTGACGCGATGCTCACAATTAATTCATAAATTTGAGAGTATGACGGTACGATTTTTAATCAAAATTGTCAAAAACGTGACGATTCAAAAATGGCGCAAAAAGTCGTTGAATTCGAAGTTCTTGCAGAAGACGGACCAGCAAGATGCGCCAAAATGGGTTTCCATCGTCCAAATGACTATTATTTTGAAACACCAATCTTCATGCCCGTTGCAACTCAAGGATCATTAAAAGGACTTACACTAGAACAGATTTTAGATCTTCCGCACAATCCACCAATCATATTAGGCAATACGTACCATCTTGGTCTCAGACCAGGACCAGAATTACTTAAAGAAGTTGGAGGACTTCACAAATGGATGAATTGGCCACATGGAATGCTCACCGACAGTGGCGGATTCCAGATGGTTTCCCTTGCTAAGCTCTCCACCGTTACAGAAGAAGGCGTCAGATTTACAGCTCCCCACGCAAGTGGCGCCGAAATTTTATTAAAACCGGAAGACTCCATACACATACAAAATGCCATTGGCTCTAACATTGCAATGATGCTCGACGATGTTGTTCCTTCTCTTATGACAGGTCCTCGCGTTGAAGAAGCGATGTATCGAACAATCAGATGGCTTGACAGAGCAATTGAAGCTCACGAGCGACCACACGACCAAGCGATCTTCGCAATTGTTCAAGGTGGACTTATCCAAGAAAGAAGAAAGTTCTGTGCCCAAGAAATGGTCAAAAGAAAAGATAAACTCGGTGGTTTTGCTGTTGGCGGACTTTCTGGCGGCGAAGCAAAAGAGATCTTTTGGCAATCCGTCAAGACATCAGTCACAGAACTTCCCAGGGACATGCCGCGCTACTGCATGGGTGTTGGATACGCAGAAGATATCGCTGTTTGCATTGCATTAGGTGTTGATATGTTTGATTGTGTTTATCCAACAAGAACAGCCAGATTCGGAACAGCTCTCATGTGGAAAGGAAACGAACACGTTTCTAAATGGAAGGAGCAAGACGAGCCAATTGAAAAAGAGTGCGGATGTTGGACATGCAAGCACGTAACAAGAACTGCTTTGTTCCACATGCAACACTTGCCAATGTGTGGACAATTGTTGTCTATTCATAACGTGGAATTCCAAAACAGATTGACATCTTATTTTAGAGAAGGAATTAAAAAGAAAGAGCTCGGAAAATACGAAAGAGATTTCTTCAATGTAAGATATCCTGATGGAAATATTCCACAATGGATTGTAGATGCTTTGGCCTCTGTTAATATCGATGTAAAGAATTGTTAAAATGTTTTATTTATAATCAAAACAATTTCTTTAAAATGAATTACTTTATAATATATTATGTATTAAGATTTAGGTCTAAATGTCATCTCGAACAAATTAAACATTTGTTGGTTATTGTATATAATATAGAAATAAACCATATTTTCTGGGTTATTGAGACGAACCTTATTTTCCAAAAGTGACAACGGGTTACAAAAATGTTAGACGGAATTAAAGGTGTTGTATTTGATTTGGATGGAACCCTTATAGATTCAATGAATGTATGGGAACAATCAGATAGAGACCTTATTGAAAGCTATGGACATAAAGTTCCTGTTGATTTCTTTTCTTCCATTTCAGGAATGACTGGTATTCAGATACTTGAATATATAATCAAAAGATTTAAAATAAAAGCATCCGTACAAGAATTAACTCAAAAATTATTAGAACGTATCAATTATAGGTTTATGAATTTGGTAGGCGAAAAACCAAATTCAATGAAGTTCATAAAGTATCTTCATGATAAAGGAATCAAAATTGCTATAGCAACAAATAACAGTAGACCATTAACAATAGAAATACTTAAAAAATTTGGTGTTTATTCATATGTTTCATCGATTAGAACATGTGGAGAGCTGAAGAAACCAAAGCCGTTACCAGATGTATACATTTACGCTTGCAGAGATCTTGGACTTGATCCAAAAGTTTGTCTTTCTTTTGAAGATCTTCCAGTTGGACTTCAATCAGCACAGGAAGCAGGGTTACGCACATGCGCCGTCAAAGATGCGTTTTCAGATCCATACGATTCATTAAAACGAAGTATCGCAGATTATTACATTTCTGACTTTGACCAGGTTATAAATGGAACATATGAATGCTTAACTAGGACAATATAAGCCAATTTTTACAGAAATTTTGGAGAAAATATTCCTTTATTTGAAATTGAGTTTATAAGCCCAATTTACCGCTATATTTGCTTGTTTAATATATATAGAATTAAAAACAAATCTTTAACTAAATGCAAAATATTGTATTTTTTTATGCGTTTAAGTTGGACCGGCAATATTGCTTTTCTTTACCACAATAGTTATGTATAGTGCTTTTTAGCAGCATTATTGCAAAAGCAGATATAAAATAGTCAACTAACTGATAATTCATTATATCTTCTTTATTTGATGAGCAGGCTGAATATTTTGATTTTCACCCGCTACAAAAATGCATTAAATACATTTTAATATTTGTTTTTCCATTATTAATACCTCTATTAAAAAGTTTCAAAGTATAGGAGCATATGCGCTGGCTAAGTTATACACTCATTTAGATTTCTTGGAAAGTGGCTCTGATTCAAATGATTTTATTTAGAACTGAAGAGAATTGAAGATTATTGTAATTAAAATTTTAAAATTATAACAAATTGGCAATACATGAAGCTAATGCTCTCAACGCCAATCCTAAAAAGATCATTTTTGGACAAGTATTTCTCGCACAAAATTTATTCAATGCGAAAAAAAAATCAGTGCGATCAAGAATTGAATTACAATTTATCGTTGACCATATGTTTTTAACATTCGTCTGCCTTTTTGGTATTGGTGAAAAACAGGATCCAGTTGCTCCAATTCTTGGTAACTGGCAAATTACTGGTTCAGTAGAAGGAACAGATAATTCTGAAATTGCTAATTTTACATTAGGAATTTCAAAGACACCAGAAAATCCACACATTTCAACAGAAATTCACGGAGCTGATGAAGATGGCGTTGTTGTTCCACTTGCTAAAGTTGAAATCGATTGTGAAGGTGTTATCGCTAATGTTAAAGTTGAGTCCAATTCAGCCACATTAGAATTCGCTATTGACTGCTCCAAGAAATCAGATGTTGGCACAACAGAAAATTATCAGTATTCTTACATTAACTATGGCACAACAATCCTTCTTACACTTTATGATACAACAACACGCAAAATTACATCATACAGATTACAGAAACCACAGCCACAACAATCAGCATTGACTAGTATGATGCCAATGCTTATGATGTTTGCTATGCAGTTCTTCATGAGGAGACCGCAGGCACAGCAGGGTAATGGTGAAGCTAATCAGTAATTAATCGGATCGAATTTCCTTCTGTCTATGAGACTTTACTTCTTTTATATTACAAAAATTTATTATCAGTAAATCATTAGATTTATTTTATAAATTTAACTAAATACACCAATTTTTTCTTCCAGAAGGTTTAAACTTCATATTTCAATTTTTTTTACAAAAATAAGACAATTTTATTTAAATATAACATCAATAAACAATAATTTATTCGATATAATGGAGAATAGTTTCAGGGATTTCGAACTCTGCAACATTCTGATATGTATCTGATCCATATTTTAATCTGATGAAGGTTGATTCTTCCCGCTCAAGATCAGTCAAGATCTCGTATGCATCTCTAATATTGGAAGAAAGGTCCTTTAATGAATACCTTGAAAACATCATTAGGTCTTCGGTCCATGGCGTTTCACTGTAAACAACGCGCATTATAACAACCGCAGTTGCAGCAATAGCTGAAGCTTTGACATCATTAAACTTCTCTGAGGTAAGACACATTTCAACAATATATCTGGCAAATAACATTGACTCTTGAGTTTGTCCACTGATTCTGAGAAAATAATTAAGGAAGAATAATGGAGTAGGGAAGCAAAAGTCGAACTCTGTAATATTTGCCAGTTGGATCTCTTTTCTGACAAGCTCTTCTCTGTTTAAAGTGTTTTTGGAACATTGAATTAGAATATCAATTGAAACAGGTTGCAAATCTTCCATCTTAGATGCAATCAATAATGATGCAGCAGCAAATTGCCTCATAGAATCAGGAGTTATATTTGTAAGATTAATTGCTCTGTTAAATATTCCGATTGCTCTATATAGTGATGTTGTGCAGCATTGAGACTTGTAGTGTAATCTATCAATCCAGTCTATCATTTGGCCTTTTTGGGAGTTTGTTATTGCCTGCTTGAAGATGACAGGTGGAAATTGTAATTCTCTAATTCTCATAGATCTATATATAATGTTTTCATATTCAATGACATCTTGTATGTTTGTGGGATCTCCGATTTGCATTTCTGTATGAACGAAAACATCTTCTGATTTAATTTGGACATCATTATCTTGAATTTTCTTTGGAGAAGTAAGAATCTGTAGATCTATTTCGTCTGGAATGACATCATCCTCATCATCACTATCAAATATTGTTGTGGTTTTTGAAATTAAAGTTTGTGGCTGAATCAGTTGATTGCTAACAAATGCTAATGGTCTACGCTGAACTCTCTTTGATGCATTAGGATTGATATTCTGAGATCTTATCTCATAGCTATGCTTTTGAGTTAGGAAAGACCGCATCTGACTAATTCTTAAACGTACACATTTTCAATACAATTTCTAAAATCATTGTTTTTCTGGAAAGGTAGTTTCTATCAAATAAGATAGATTTTGAAGAATCCAAGAGGATTCCAAAAGAAAATGGAATGATTTTAAGATAAAAAAATGTTTATTTAAAATATGACTTAAGAAAACAATTTCATCATATTTGTAATATCTGCTTGGCTAAATCTAATGTAAAAATCTATTCTTCTAATATATTTCAAGAAAAAATTAATATATTAACTGTAAAATTGCAAATTCGATGGAAAATTATTTTTCCATATATTCAAGGATGATTTTGCGCTTTTCTTCTATAGCTGTTGGAGTGTTATCGAATAATCTTGCACCAAAAAGTTCAAAAAGTTTTTCCATGGTTGGTACGGGACATTGTTTTTCAGTATGTCCATCTCTACCACAATTTGGGCACTGAATAGGACGCTTAGAAGGATTTACTTCAATTTCAGGATATCCGAGCACAGTTCTGATATCTTCTGTGACCTTTGGCGAGCAAGTTGGGTCAAGCATAATCATATCCTTACTTGCTTTCATTACCGAAATTGTCACTTTTATTATACTATGCTTTTAATTTTGGAATTTAAATGATATATTTTATTACGATCACAGATTTTAATAATTTTCAGATGTAATCATTCATAAATTTCATAATTTGAAGAATCTTTCAGCGGAGCTCTTGATAGCAATATATAAATATCATAATATGAAAATAAGATAAATTTATACACAAACAATCAATATATTATAAATATAATAAAATAACAGAGAAATTCTCTGTAAAAGGAATGCATCTATATCTTTTTGCATTCTTCAATGAACTCCATGTCAACCATATATTCAATTAAGTCCTTTGCATGAGTACTTCCAACTTTCATAGCTTGGATAGTACTTTCTAAATTTCCATGCTCAGAACCAGCAATATTGGACTCAGCAAACTGCATATACTGGATAAATATTTCTTCATCTGATACATCTAATGTCCGAGAAAATGAAATGATTTTCTCTAAAATTTGTTCTATGCTTATGTTTGATTTCTTGCACTGAATTGAAAGATGATACAAGAAATCATTTGAGTCTGCCGATAAACTTTCGAATATTGAGCCAAGTTCAAAAATATTATCTTGAATTGATTTATGAACTTCTGAAACGGGAAAAGCATAATTTGTTATGTGAGGTTCAAAGTTCTCATCAAGGAAAACAGAGGATGAGGCTAGATATTTGAAATAAAGGCCATTATCATTCATAATTTTAATTGATAATGCAATTCCATAGGCAATTTTGAGGCGCTGAACAGTTGTGAGAGCAGCAACATCACCACTTTTGATGAATGATTCTAAATCACCACATGGATAATAATGATAATTGACTGAAACTGATTGATCAATTTCAATATCCTTTAGTTCCGCAAATACATTGGGCAAAAGTGGATATATTTGTTCAAAAAGCATTTTTTCATTAGTTACCTTGCTAACTTGTCTGTTTTCATCTTGTAATACATAACTTATTAAGAATTGACCATCTGATGCAACAAGTGTCCATAGGCATCCGATGAACCTTGTGAAGTATATTTCGCTAATAATGGAAAAGTCATCATATAAAGATATCTTCATGCAAACTGGGGTAACGAGAATTTCATCAAATTTTTTTCAATTTCTCTCAATTTGGTTTACCATGGTATCGAAAATTTATATAAGCTTCATAATAAGAAAAGGGCATTTGAATTCAGATTTTGACTTAGAATAAATTTGGCAAACCCAAATTTTAGCTAAAAGTGACAGGGGAAAAAAACGTTTAGTATTAAAAAAAGACCGATGAGAGCTTCGTTCGAAATATAGAGGGAACTGAGAATGCGCAACCATTCTCAGGGAATATTGGATGCTATTCCCGTTCCCTCTGTATGGGAAATTGAGGTTTTCAAAGGGAGTTAAAATAATATCAAATTTATACTAATTTACTTCAAAATACAAAAGTATTTGACAGCTAAAATTAGTTACTTTAGCAAGCCTATCAATACCCTTTTACGATTATTGTTACTTTTTCGAAATAAAAGTAAAAACAAATTTATACTAATTTACTTCAAAATACAAAAGTATTTGACAGCTAAAATTAGTTACTTTAGCAAGCCTATCAATACCCTTTTACGATTATTGCTACTTTTTCGAAATAAAATAAATTTATTATCAAAAACCTTTTTTTTTCTTAGTAAAAATAAAAATGTTATTTTATATCAAGTTTTTATTCATAAATTTTTATAATGTTGTATAAATTTGAAGGTGGAAATCTGTAATAATTTTATCTTGAAAAGACTTGGCATTCTCAACAATGAATTGAGGGGTATTGCATCCAAATTCTGTAATTTGCGTGAGAATACTAAGCTTGATTTCCATTGGGATACTTAATTTCGAAAAATACTGGGTCATTCGTTTTTGAACCTTTGCTGCCTTGACAACTTTATCAAGTAGGTCATCTAAACCCAATTGAAGCGTATTTAAGTTTGCTGATGAGTTAACTATTAACGATTTAATTTTATCAGTGAGCATTATACATTTTTCTGTATCCAGTCTGATTGTAGACTTTTTTGGCTTTTTTTCAGATGGCAACGGATTTGGAATTTTGTCTCTGAGCCTTATATCTTGAGAAATTCTGTAATAAAATGAAGGAACGATAAAATCGATTAATTTCATCACAAATCGATCAAATCTCATGAAAATTGTTCCGCCAAAGTAGTAATATTTAATTTTTTTGTTAATCGATTCTGAAATGTTATTTGTGAGAGCTAAATTTTCATCTCTTTCAGCGGCTGTCCATCTTTCTTGGTTTGATATCCATTGATTTTGTATGTATTTTGAAAATTCTGGGAATTTTTCGGCTATTTCCAGAATTTTTTTGAACGTTGGTTCAATCCATTCTTTCTTGCCATTTCTGCCGTATGCAAGATAGTTCATTTTTGTATCTAATATCAATTTGTCTGAACTCTCAAATGCATAATCTTTCAAATTTTTTCTGAACGCCCTCATTACATGAACTGCACACCAATGAAGGATAACTTCTGGAAAAGAGTTGATAATCGCATTTTCGATTTCTTGTGCACAATCTGACATAAAATATTTTGGTTTTACTTTTGCCCAGTTAAAAAATGCCTTGAGACAGAATGCAATATTTTCTGAAGTGTTTGGATAAACGACAAATTGAAAAATTGGGAATGCATGTGTATTTGGAAATTTGGCTGATATCATGTAAAACAACATTTTAAATTCAAGTAATGAATGGGTTGCATCAATAAAATGCTCTTTCACAATTTTGATTATGTCCAGAAATTTGAAAGAAGCATAATAAAAGATTAATTTCTTTGGTTTGTTGTAATTATCGACATCGAAATAAATTAAATCTTTTGGTGACTCTTGTTCTTTGATACCCTTAAATAATTGAGTTGACTTGAATTGATTATCATCGTACTTTTGAATACCTTTGATCTTTTTATTTCCTTTTTCCTGAATTGTTTTCATTTGATCTGAAGATGCATTCAAAAAAGATGGCCTGTTAAGTGGATCATCCAGATCAAGTTTTTTGTCGCATTCAATTTGAGCCATTTTCGGATCACCCCCCTGTTTTATAAAATTAATAAGTACCCGACGATAGCATTGTGATAATGTGTGGTATTTCTTTGTCTCATCTTTGATTTGATTGTGATTATGTGTTCCATTATATTCTGTTAGGATATATTCTTCATCATCCTTTAGAAATGAGATACATGCTTCACATTTATCTGCACTGCATCTGAATTTTAATTTTGTTCCCCCTAAATTTGGATTTTTTTTAATTGATATGGACAACCTGCATGGCATTCGTTATCAATGACAGCTTTCATAGCATCTATATAAGATAGCCTTTCTTTAAGTTCGCATGGTGCATCGATATGCATCAAAAAAATGAAATGAAATTTCAATATCAAAAAAAGCACAAAATTTGAAAAAATTCACAAATCTCGGTTTCTGAAAGAAAATGGCCTCTTAAACTTTGTGCATATATTCATCTATAAGACACATTGTATCCATATATTATTTAGCCAACACAACTTATCTGGTATCGAGAAAATTCAAAAAAAGCACAAAATTTGAAAATTGCTCGGTTCTACATTCAAAATAAATTTCATTAATTTTTACGTACATATTAAGGTACTTATTTCTACATATATAATCTTCATTAGATATATACATGATAAATAAAATTCATAAAACATTAAAAATCAAAGAATTAGATGAACCTTGGCAATTAAACTTTATTAAATAATAGTTGTTTATAAATTATATTATATTATCATTTAATATTATTTTGATAATGAAGATTTTATTTTGCAATAATATAAACGAAATTTTTTACCTTATGAACTTTTGATGGAAATATGCAAATTTAAAATAATAAAGAAAGCCGCGAGCTAAGCGAGCGGCTTAGTTCGAAGATTTTGATTCAAATCTTTGCTGATCTGTAATTCGCGGAAGCCGCGAGCGAATCGAGCGGCTTAGGTCTAAGATTTTGATTCAAATCTTTGCTTATATTCCTTAAATTCTTTATGAAACTCGCAACAGTTCCATAAAAAATTTTAAATTCTAAACTGTCGAAATTCCCGATCGGTAATCACACCCTTCACGGGTGTGTCACTTTTTACAAGCGTGTCACTTTTAGCTAAAATTACCCCTACTCGAATAAATTTTTATCTCACCTGACTTTTTTTCTCACCGCTGAAATTGTTTCCCAAATATTGTGACCCTATTCAATTTATTTGTTTTCCACCAATTTTTATTTTAATATGATATTTCGATAAAGAGTTATATAGATAATCGAAAGCATAGGAAATACTGAGATTTGAAAAAAAATTGATTAAATATTCTGCCATTTCAAATTTCTAAGCTTGACAGTTAGTGAGTTATTCTATCCATTGAGTGTTGAAAGCAAAAATGCCTTTAGGGCTAATTTTGATTAGTTGAATAATTTAATCATCTATTGGAAAATCAGAACCTAAATGTTCATCAATCTTTGTATAGAAATATATTGCAATCCATCCAATATTTATAAAAAATTATTTTTATATATTTTCATTTTTTAACTTAATGCTATATTCCTTGTGTATAGATACATTAAGTAAATCAAATATATATATTGATATAAAATCAAGAATAAAAATATCTTAAAAAAAAAAGAATTGCTTTTTTTATATCATTTGAGAATTTGCATCTTTTTATAAGAAATGTCTGTCATTATTTATCACCTAATTCTCTCCTTCATGGGAATGCTACCGGAGAAATCCTTAAAATATTCATCCGATCATAAAAGTTGGATTACGGTGTTTTCAAAAAGCGTCAATTTTTTAACGATTTTACAACTTTACAATTTAAAGTCATTTCAAGAGCCTTGTACCGATAAACTAGCCTTGTACTGCCATTTTATGGTGATGTAAAGTATTCAAAAAATTTGCAATGTAAACCATTACATGGCAGAAACTTTAAAATAAACAAAAACATGACACTTAGTACAGGGGCTTTTTGGCTGGTGAAATCAGATAAAACGTGGCTCAGGTGCTCGTTTAAAATTAAAAATGGAATTTCTCACAGTCGAATTTCTTGGTAGACAACAAAAGTTTATCATCAATTGTCGCGCCGAAGGTATGACATATAGTCAAACTAAGCTTGCATGGGAGGAAGAATACCCAGATCTCGGAACTTTAACATCCAATCTCATTGCTACTGCACTTAAAAGAGCTGCATTAGGTCTATACTGGGAAAAAGGGAATCATGGCGGTGCAGATCCATACCTATGCGAGCGTGATCAGCTCACTTTAAAAGAAATTATCGAAGATTCTGCTTACAAAGGTGAAGCTCTAGAAGCAGCTGACATTATTGACGAGGCGTTCAAGTTGAAAGAGCTCAGAAGAGATTATGGTTACAGATTCCTTCTTGAGATTAATTGTCCTACTCTTGCAGAAGAAGTTATCAAAGTTAGTATCTCTAAGTCGTGTACTGAGGCACTGCGCGCCTCCGTACACCACTTAGCGGTTTTGACACTTTACAAAACTAGTAACGTATATTTTACAACACAACCATAACACCAACTTAACCTTAAATATTTACAAAACCATCTGACACATAAACGACTTCACTAATGACTTGACTAATGACTTCACTAATGACTTCATTAAATAAAAAATAACCTTATTTTTATTTTTTTTAATTTTTTTATTTCATTACAAAGACATGTACGACTACATTTACTATGACTCTTTCCCAGAACGTTTCCGTGAACTATTCAAAACTCAAGTAAAACTGAGAAACATGCATTTTAACAAAGACAGACCCATTGACGATGAAAGAAACCCTGAATATATTACAATCCCTTATGACGCAAAGTTCATTGCATACATTCCTTATGGTCGCAGAGGAACGAAAATTATTTCTGGAGCGATGAAGAAAATTGCCTTATCTACATATTGTACAAAAGAAGGTTGGACTGGATTTGAGCTCTACATATACGACGACGATGGAAACAGACGTTGTGTATACCCATACGATAATATGTACCATTGTTTTCATCAAGCATTAAACGAATACATAGTCAG